TACTCGAATTTCGATCTAAATTTACGAACTAATTTTGATTTCAATACAAGCCGTGACCTTTTGTGCTTGTGAACTTGCTCGACTGTGTAGTAGACTAATTCCCGCAACAGAGGGTTGCTATGCAATTTCGCCTGAATAACACCACTGAGTTGCCCAGAGTAACTCACTTTGCCACTGGAAAGCAGTTCAAAGTCTTGATCCCATTTCTATTTAAATTAAACATCCTTCAGTTTCGATATCGCCATAATAATTTCGAGAGAGTCAGAATATATGAAGTTATGACACTGAGAAATTGTTAACGAAAGTGCATTACTAGTGGATTTCAAGGTCCAGTATTCAACTTGTTACAAAATTAAAAACATTTCGGTATGTGTGCCACAGGGTAGCAAATTCGGTCCATTACTATTTATTTTATATATTAACGATATTCCTTATGTTTTACAACACTGCAAAATTCAACTAATTGATGATACATTAATATATACATATATCAAATAAAGACATGGAAACTGCAATAGAGCTGTTAAATGATGATGATGATGAAAAACGTAATGAATTGGTTAAATGTGAATAAACTTAAACTAAACACAAACAAAACAAAATATATGCTAATAGGATAATCTTTCGATCAAACTACGATAAATCTTACAATTATTCATGAAAAAGTCGTGTCAATCGAATCATTTAAATATTTGGGCATATTTGTATTTATTCTAAAAAAAAAATGTGTACAACACTATCATTCTTCCTCATTTGTTATATTGTTCGACTATTTTGTTCACTGCAAATGAAACTGTATTTTCAAAATTACAAAATAAAGCTATGAAAATCATCTTAAATAAAAATAAATATACTAGAATAAATTTTAGGCTGAAAGAACTACAATGGATAAATATCAAAAATTTCATAGCCTACTTGGCTTTCATTTTCATATTCAAGTTAAAAAATCGTCTTCTACCAAATCCTTAGAAAATTTTATTGTATTGAACAATGAGTGGCCACAATTATTCTACTAGAGGAAGTATAGACTTTCATTTACAAAACTACAGTAGCAATATAATGAGCAAGTCAGTATTTCAAAAGGGATTGTACGAATTTAATAAATTAAGTAATGATATCAAGATGTGTACCAGTTTGAAAATGTTCAATTGAAAAAATATCTCATGGAAAACCAGAATTAGTTTCAGTGAAATTTTGTATAAAAATATATAGTCTTGAAGACATAATATATTTTGTGATATACTGGGTAATATGGATATTATGGACATTGTAGCATTAATGCTAAATAAATCTGAAACAAACAAAGATGACATGAAGATCAACATCAAGAGTCTAAACTTAGTTAGATGCTTGATCTTTTTTGTTCCATGTCTTTGTGAATTCAGTTTTAATCATGCCTCTGATCCTTTGTCCCATATCTTAGGAAAACCAGTATGATATGGATGCTTCCGTTTGATTTCATTAAATTCTTGGTGTGGCATACATACATTCCATAGGAATGTGAAAAAGAGATACAACCTGAAGGTAATGATAATAAAATTCTGAATAACAGTATGGGTATCATTTTAAATGAGGTACTTGTTAGTTAACAAGTAACAAGGTCGTTGTATTTATGAGATGCTTATCATTTGATACGATCCAGAAGTTTGACGCAATAAGAATGTTACGATCTGTAATTATTGTTCATACTGGTTAAAAAGTTGATTTTTTGTAGACAACACCTTATAAAAACGTAACTTTCCTCAAACGACCAATATTTCCCTTAAATCTCAATATAACTCATTTCTGTTATCTGTGATCTTCTCAACTCGCAAGATTAATCTCTTTTTTTTGTCGCATTATTCACGTATTCTATAATCTATATCAAGACTGAGTGCATGTTAGTTTTTTTTAATTACAATTACGAACGAAGACTTTCTATTTGCAAACTTTGTAAAATAACTTATTTTTCTAACACGATATGTATACATAATTGGATGAATTCAATTCTTTCTTTGATTATCGTTGTAAAATGGTTAAGAGATAAACATATTACTGACATATAAACAGTTTTCGCGTGCAGTTGATGCAGGATTGAAAATTCGATAACATTGATGATAAATTGTATTGTCTGTATGCAATAAACATTTTGCACGCAATGTTGAGAAAATGTGTTTCCAACTAGTTCAGAATTAATCAGTTCATTCTGGGACATTGGCGTATTTAAAGGGGCGCCTCCCCTAGAGCTCCAAATTTACATTTTTTCAAGTAAATATACCTAGTATATGAATGGTTTCGAGAAAAGTGAATTTGATAGTTTGAAGACCCTTGGACTCGTTCTACACGGTGGGTCAAAGATATGACGGAGTACCATAGATTCCTTATTATAAGAACTTGAAAAAACGTTAAATTATAAATAAAAAAATATATTCTGATATTCAGGGTAGCCCAAAAGTGGAACCAGACCAAACGTTTTTTAATTGATACTCCTTTTTATTTTTGTATTTTGAGATTCTCCTCATGATTTTAAACATTTTTTATGTGTTTTGAGTAACAAAGATTTGGTGACAATAGAATCAAAAAAAAAAAATGTAACGCAATTTTGGAAAATAAATTCATGTAGAGTCCATGCAGAGTCATACTAGGTAATGCTACTTAATTTTTGAAAACGTTTAAATGGCTCCGGACTTATGAGTAAAAGTTGCTTGATAGTCAAAGTTGCCTCCTAGGTCCTAAGATGCCTTAACTACCTTTAATTTCGCAATGCTTCTTTCAGAGCTGTTGCAGTTTTAATCTAGAGGGTTAAAAATAGGAAGCATGCTACCATCACCTAGCCGTACAATGTAAGATTTAGCACTTGATAATTTTTAATTCAGCGTACAGCCTAAAAACATGCGTGATATTGTGAGAAATACTATGCATTTTTTTAGTACGGGAAGCCCTGAATCGTCGATACGGCGGTAGCTATGCTATGCCCCTGGATTTTATATATGTTTTAAAAAACTTATTTATGTACTTCTGTATACATTTTCCTGCAGTATCGTATTTTTACTGCACAATGCACTACTGCTGCATGATCCTTTTTTTGTTTATGGCGCATCGCTAACACATCTGTCACGTCAGTAGCGGTTATGGCAACATCTGTTACATGTTTCCTCATTCCTAGAAATATTTGAACGAATAGCACGTGTTAAAGCCCCATAGTACGACGTGTTAAAAATACACACACCTGGAGGCAATGTTTACTAACCTACTTCGCGTATACATATGTCGAAGATTCGATTTCCTTGAGGTCTATTTTTGACGTGTCTTCACGTGGGTGCGACCGTACATGTTACAGTAAACCCAGTTCTGGTTAACTACTGATGATTGATAAGCAAGGTGTTGATCTTCATTTACTATGTGTAAATAATTGATTGTGAGCAGGGGCGTAGTCAGTGGGGAGGGGGTCGGGGGTTCAAACCGCACCAAGCCTCCAAAATGTTTGCCAAAATCTTAGTTTTTTACAATTTTGCAGCTGTATCTTGCTTATCACGACTCTACAAGCTACCAGTTGAGACGATTTGTGGACGATATGGCTAATTATACAGGCCAACAAGATAAACAAGTGGTGTGTGCTGGGAAATCTGAAGTCAAAAGTGGGGGTCACTAGGCAAATATGAAAGTAATTTAGATATTAAGATCACAAATTTTAGTATTTTATCCGATATCTCCGAGAGATACACTTGCTTGCACCAAAAACACAAATTGCTTTCATATTTGTACGTGGACTCCCAATTCTGACGTCAGATTCGTTTTCAGATGGAAAAAATATAGTAACACCACCAGTTCACACCAATTTATATTTTTGTGGATCTGCGATATCACTTTTATCGTTTTTATGAGTTGTTTCTAAAATCTTTCCTATTCTGAATTCAGATTGATGTTCAGCGGGGAAAATAGATGGGAAAAATATAGTGAGACCCTCAGCCCACACCACTTTTTTGTCTGCCTGTGTTATGATAGTAAAACGAAAACTAAATTTTCAAACTAGGAAACCACGAATTTGAATGTGAAGGAAAATTAACTCTGAATCATTTGGATCTAACGTGGTATTGTTTATTATGTGGTTTATTATCTCCAATCACATTACGTTTTGTGGTTGCTTTATACTTTTTATAAGACGGCACGAAAAGGTTCAACAACCGCCACCAGGAACTAACTCGTAAAATCATTGCGCGTGTACAGTCTCGAACAAAGTCGGTTTCTTCTAGTACGAAGATTGCGAATCTGACGTTAATTTTTCGTTGAGATCCACGGGAAGACCTAGAAGTCGCAAATTCTTGCATATCGACTAGATCCCAGATAAATCGAGTGCCTAGCTGATGCTCGGATATACGTTTTAAGCAGAAATACGCAAATGACGAAAATGGAAATTGTTGCTTGAGATACTTTGAAAATGTAAAATGTGGTTTTCGCGAGTAAACGGTATTTCAAGCATGTGGTTTCATTTCGCAGCCAGAAAAGAATTGAGGATTGACTAGTAATATAGCTTTCGTACATCTGACCACAAGACAACCGTGGACAGCTGCTTTGTGCTTTTCTGGCAACTCATAAACACGATCTAGGCTTGGTCTAAGGTAAGAAACCAAAGCTGAGCAAGTGGTGACTTGGCTGACACTGGGATACAGTTCCAAACAGACATAGTTTGCTCTTTTCACTTCCGCAGCGGTCGATTCTGGTAACACATAGCACTTTGTGCTGCCTTATTTCGATCGAGGATTAATACTTTGAATAGTCCAAAGAAAGTATCATTGAAGTTAAAATTTAAAAATTCTTTTGTTGAGTAACTTGGGCGCATATATTATGAATTTGATGTCAGTTTTACTCTGCCATCTACGAAAGGTCCCAATTTTTTACTCGTAATAGGCCTCGCACATTTTTGTGGCCATATTTGAGATCAGATTGATTGAATTTTTGTTCACTTGGGGCACATAAAATAAAAATTCATTGTGGACAAACAATAATTTATTAAATAACGTATAAACATTTATAATATGAAAAATTGCAAACAAAAGCTACATCTTGTATAACTATTCTATCACTGGACATACATTTTAACAGTTTAGCTATCTTTGAACTTCATATCTATACTTCTTGCATTATATAAAAATACCTTCTTATATACAAATATACCCCAAACTTAATGCACCTCTATAGCGTAAATATTAAGTACCCTTTTATATAAAAAACATCATGCAGCATATATAAATAAAGCTATATATATAAAATATTTACATCCAATACTCGAAAGGTTTCCAGTTCAAATGGTTATGTAAGGAAATTAGGTTCCGATGAACATATGTAATTAAGTTAAATGAAAAATCGATAGGTAATGATAACATTACAGTGTTGCATCAAATTTCATGTTCATATCATCCTTTTAAAATTCACTCCAACATAGTAAAATAGAATGTAGAATGTATTCTTCAAAGTCTAATTGAAAGGAAAACAAACTGTGATCAAGTATTGTAGCTGGATTTTCAAGAATCTACATAATTTTAAGACTATTCGCTATCTGGGATACACTAGCGGACAAAAGTTTGGAAACAAATATTAACATTATTATGAACTATTTCATATACTACTCGTTTATATCAAGAATACGGACCAACAGCAACGCGGCCTAGGTGCGGAAGACCGAAAAAAAAAACCGATTATGTTCTGGGTCGCTACATTAAACGTTTGTCCCGTGAAGATCCTCGAATGCCAGCCAGACATATTTTCAAAAGAATCGTAGTAGAGGGTGCCGAGAATCTTTCTGTCAGAACAGTGCAGAGACGCTTGGCGGATTTTGGGCTTTTTGGTAGGCGTCCAGTGCAAAGGCCTCTCATTTAGAAAAACAAATCGTAAAATTGATCTATCTTGGACAGAACAACAATGGAATACAGTTTTATGGAGCGATGAAAGCTGACGGTACGGCATATGTGAGACGTCCAAAAGTATCAATTGGCAACAGTTAAGCACGGTGGAGGCAACATTATGGTTTGAGGCTGTTTTTCTAGTTCTGGAACGGGTCCAATTGTTAAAATTGTTGGAAAAGTGAATCAAAAATTTTACAAAGATATTCTTAGTGAATACATGCTCCCTTTTGCTGAAGAAGAAATGCCTTTACCATAGTCATTCCTTCAAAGTAATGACCCCAAGCATACCTCAAAATTCGTAAAGGACTGGTTAAAACTGAAAAATGTTAATGTTCTTACATGGCCTTCGCAATCCCCGAACCTAAACCCCATAGTACATCTCTGGGAGCATGTTAAAGGACAACTGACTAGAAAAACGTTCAAAAATAGGAACCATTTATTTGATTAAGTAAAAAATATTTGGCAAAATATCCCAACAAACGTCTGTAAAAAATTGGTGTATTCTATGAGCAGCAGAAGTCAGGCAGTGTTGAATGCTAAAGGCTATGCTACCAAATATTAGCTAAACAGAATTTTTTAAATCTTTGCGTAGAGTTATTGTATTTAATTTTGTGATAAAAAATATGTTTCCATACCTTTGTCGTCTCATTTTTGGTCATAAAATAATATGAAAGTATTTTAATGCTAGTCTGTAGTACCACAGCACACGCAAATTGTCATTTGTATTCCCAAGACTGTAAACAAACTATATGAGAAAAAATATTCCATAATAATAAACAATAAAAAATTAGTGCACTTTTTAAAAATTACTAAGGAATGTTTCCAAACTTTTGTCCGCTACTGTATATAATAAATATACTCAAGCTACTCATCCACTTAACCTTATCAATGGAATGTATAAAAATTCCATATACATTTTTGCATTCATGAAACCTCAACAGATTTATCATACAGACAATAATTCGAGATTTCGATATAAATTATACAGTTCTAATAAATAGTATGGTTTTATATAAAAGATTTTTGTTTTTGGTGGAATAAGTACAAGATTTTTGCGATATGAAAATAAGTTTGATTCATTAACAAATCATAATTCTCATGTAGTGCGCACAGAAGTTAAAGGACAACATCGATTTCGCATCTTGAATAAAGGTGAAAAGAAACAGAAACATAGTTTTGTTTGCATGTAAATTATTGGGGAATTAAAATATCTTCAAAATTTAAAAATATATTTTTTGGTTATAATTTTGAAATAATAATTACAATGATAAAAAAATTTTTTAATAAACAGTATGGTTTTCTATAAAAGATTTTTGTTTTTGTTAAAATAAAGTGAAAGATTTTTGAGATATGAAAAGAACGTTGTTTAATGGCAAGAAACAACCATAATTCTGTCGGATACTAGATCGCAAAGAAGTAAAAGGTCTACATCGATTTTCCAGCTTAAAAGAAGAGGAAAAAAAAAACAGATGCAACGATATTTTTGGTATATTATTGGGAAGATAAAATACCTTCAGTATATAGGCTACCATAAATTTAACAGACGACAGTTCATATAAACATAGGCAAAATTTAAAAAAAAAACGGTTTTAAATTAAATAACCCTTAGCCTTGCGCCACGCCACTGACTTTTGTGCAATTTCTATTATGGTCTTTGGATTAAACGAATAGAAATACGACTTTGTTTCCTTGAATTTTTTTCGTATCTTGCTTAGTTTTCGCGTTAAAAAAAGTCAACTTAATTGCATATCTCTGGACCACACAAGGAATATGGGGAAACATTTCTTTGGGAAATTACTATTTTTTTATATTTGTTTATTACTAATTATGTAACAACAACAAATACTAAATAACATTAACATATTAGTATTAAAAAATTATAAGAAAATAATTTCCAAAATAAATTAAGTTCATCTTTTTTTCTCAATAGGTAACTAAAAAAAATTCAAGAGAAAAAAGTTGTATTTCCATTTGCTTAATCCTGAGAACATAATAAAAATTGCAAGTCGGTGACGTACATTTTTTTGTCACAAATATTCGTTCAGATCCCGCTCGAGAAGCCACTGGACAAATTACAATAAAATTAAATAAAGTGTATTTAAGATATTTACGAAAAAACATTGTTTTCTAAATTTTATCACCCTGTATCTTGAGAACGAAGAATTTGCGGACATATGTTTACATTAAAATTAAATTAAAATTGCTCAAAGAATCATCTGTTAAATTTATGGTACATACTTAATTAATTAAAAAAAAATGATGTACTTAACCCTTTAATAACTTACAGTTTTTCATGAGTAGAAATTTTCATACTATATATCACATTCAAAACCGTGCTGATCGCAAATGATCTAAATGCCACACCACAATAAAATATTAATGTGTTAAAAGTTATAATTTCCTACATTAAAAACTATACAGAGTTGCGGATCAAATAGCGAACGTTCGGGAATGGATCAATCTTCCTAAGTATAGAATGCTTTTTTCTCAAAATTAAAATCTATGTAGATAATGCTTGAAAGACTAGCCTATCCTCTGGAAAAAAATCACTGGGTAGGGTAAAAAAGATAACAGGTCAGTTCTCCAAAAGATAAGACGATAGACTATACATAAATGGTGCATCTTCAAAATCCAAAAACCAGCTAAGATTATCTACCTGCTAACTTCTGCCAGTAACATTTTGGTTTGACTGGGTTTTCAGATAGGTAGTTGTTTATATGGATACCAAAGTAGAATATTGACAGAAGGCTGTTTTTGTTATAGTACTATGATCCTTCATGAGCTGTTCTGTCTAATCGCCTTCAGTTTCAGTCTTTCCACGAGATAAATATTGATTGAACTTACGTATGATACTCATGAAAACACCTTTTGTGACCTAGAGCAGGGTTTGAGACTGCTTTTGTTACCGCATCATCTGCCTAAAATCATCCAACTTATAAATACTAGTAGACAGTCTTCCAAAAGCATTAACCAACGAAACAATCTCGATCCTCTGCAGCTGAAATTCTTTCTTGTTATGAGCGTACAATCGCCTGTTCTGTATCATCTCATCAAACTTGCCGCTGAAGAGTATCTTCAACGCTGTTCCCAAACCCTGCGTCTGCAGTTTGCCCCAAAGGCGGCACTTCTCGCAACCGACGCAGTCCATGATTCGGGTGATGTTTCGAAAATGCTGTTTGAACTCGTACTTTAGCCTTTCGGCTTGTTCAGAGTTACGGAACATGGTGGATTCGTCGAAGTGATCCGGGAACTGTTTGATGACGTTCAGGAGATCTTTGATAGCCATTTGGGTGTCCCAGTCGGAAGCGTCATTACCTAGAAAGACGTATACATTGAAAACCAAATTTGTCTGACGGCTGGAGGTCAGTGTGTACGAGAGAGAAGTGTGTATAGACAGATAAGTTAAAAAGAGATAGAAGCCGGTTCCATTTTTGATAGAAATGAAAAGTAAGGATGTCGCAAATTCTGCAACATCGCTTGGCAACACCGCATCTCGTACATTCCAAGGCAAGGTTTCCACCTCCATGATCATAGTTGAGCGATTTTGATCAGTACTCATCTAGTGCTCGTAGGGCAGTGATAATTTGTATTGCTTAATGGTATGTATTAAATTATTATTTAGGTGAATAGCAAAATGCTGCTTAAAAGGTTTCGAAATTCAAAGCACTTCCGATGAGAGACAAAAAACTGAATTTTCTCAAAATCAGTTTAAATTTTTCCTGACTTTATTTGTAGTGGAATTTCTAAATAAACTGTACATTAACAACAACGCAACTTTTCTTCTCTACAGGATGGCATAATCGGAATTTCAATATGACGTTTCGTCTCTTGTCCTCTAGCATCAACTTTATTTTTTCTTAAGGACGCCATATTGGATTTTTGCACAGGTGAATAGAGTTTTTATTTAGATACGACAATTATGAGAAGGTTTGGAAAACGGTGTACTTTTCTTTTTGATCAGAATGCCTAAAAGATCTTTGTCCGGCTCTTGATTCTTCTATAAGTAGCTCACCTGTATAATATTCTTCCTCCTCCAAATAGGGCGCAACTTTCGCCAAAGCCCTAAGTTCGACCAAGTAGATGAAATAAAGGTTCCTCAGCCAGTTCGGACCTTCACTATTGGTGTTCTCTGGCGAAAACCGCCTTTGGAATTCATCCAAATTCGGACCCCATTTTCCTCGGGGGTCCGTAAAACTCATGCCATTCGCGTTTGAAAGAAGATAATTCGCGCATAGGTGGGTGTTGATACTCGCATGCAAGCCAGAGATTACCCTATGAAATAAAAAAATAAATGATGTAAAAAAATTGAATTCCCCAGTCTTGTGGATATTAAAAACAAAAGAGTGATGTTGTCATTGGTTCCCTATTGAGTTATTCTCCATTTTTTAAACATGATCCTCAAGAACTGTACTTTTATTTAAAAAAAAATCAACATGGAAACATAAGCTCAAATTCCCAATTTTACACCTCACTTTGTATAGTAATTTGGGATTTGACATAATTTAGTAGTTTTATTTCATTGTTCATTGTACATTTATCGCATCTTTATCAAAAAAGCTGTTTTTTGTTTATTAAACATTTGATGTGGAAACGTTTTTACTTTTCATTTCGATTAAAATAGGTCAAACTTTCACAGGATAAACAATAGTACATTTGTTATTTGCTATAGTTTCTTGGTATGATTATGTTCATTCCAAATTTGAACACGGGTCTCGGAAATTACCTGTAAAACACTCTTTCTTCTAAACATAGCTCACTCAGTTTACCACTTTGAATATAAGGGTTGAAGCTTAAGGATCTCTTAGGTCTGAAACAATTTTCCAAATATATCGCAGACCATATTTTATGGGCAGCTGGACCAGCGTAACTGAAAACGGTCAAAATCGAAAATTAAATTAAACAAAACAATTATTGGAAAATATTGTGACAAAATCCTGCTTAGTTATTAAAGATGATTTAATTGTAAATTATACCTATCATTCCTGGAAGACTCCGTTTAATGATGTCAAGTAGGGAGATTAAAAAATAACCAAACATTGATAAACGCATATACACTACTTTTATTTCATATATCAGAAAAATGCAATTTGGTGCAGTTATATCGTACATTCGTAACTGTGATAATTGCAGTAAAAAAGTTAATTATATGTATTTGCGCGCATAAGATGAGCTAAGTAAAAACTACATAATTACACATGGATAAATTTCAATAAGAGTACATATGACGTAAACAACTATCTACACATACTTCACCAAATAATTTGTGACATAATTAGTGTTTACCTAGAACTTGAAACATTTGTAGCTTTGTAAAAATATTTCGTTAAACTAAACATATTTCACATAATAATGAAACTATAAACATTACCCAGTGTATCTTTCTGGATTCAACAATAAATCCACGTATTCAGCCTCATGATCATTCTCATCAATATCGCAGAAGTTGTCTAAAGCATCATCATATGCGTCCCATTTGACCAATTCTTTTTGAGCCTCTTCCGAAATTGTCTTGTTCAGATAGTATAGCATTTCGGCTTCACAGTCTTCATTTGCCTAAAACGATAGAAGAGGTAGACGTATATGATTCTGAAATAATACAAAAAAAAGATTAATCATAAACGCTACGAGTATAGTGGAAAAGGCTGCCCTAATAGGTACAGCGATCTAAACATTTTATACTGCAAATAGGTCATTTAGGACTGATTTTTACCAATCCGGTGAACAAAGTTTGCGCCCAGACCACAAACTCTACCAATCAGAAGGCCTTTTTGAAATAATGGAACGAATGAATAAAGTGAATTTCTTGTAAAATATCTCTCAAACCAGAGAAAAACTATACGATTTGTGTAAGATGAGCCCCTAATTTTCATATCAAATCAAGAAATACTTAATGTTACCTGGTTTAGCAATGGAAACCTATTTTTTCATTTGACCCCGGGCACAAAATTTGCGACAAGGGCGCAATTTCCGCCAATCAAAAGGAAGGATTTTTGTCTTTCTAGCAGCATAATTCAAAACTGGTATAATATCTAGATTGATATGACAGCAATTACTGAGCATTTTATTGAAAATAACAATCTGTACTTACCTAAGAGAGAGGCTTAAAAAAGGGATATATTTTTACCAATCCATCAACATGTCCCTTGAAGTTAGCTACGAAAACTTATTTTTTCCCTTTATAGGTTTGTATCAAGTCAGTCAAACTAGATCATTGATTTTTGTGCTTGCTGTAGAAAATTCTGCTTAATAGATTGTTTGGACACATAAAATTACGGAATGATTATTTTTTAACAAACGTCGAGTAAATATTTAGAGCTAATTTTCCTGACTTATCGCAACAGGGAGCCTGAAAGTAATCTTATTTGACTAGATTCTTTTTTATCTTTTTTTTATGGCGAAACGATGTGTCCTATTCTGTTTAAATTTTTAATATGGTGTTACACTGCTCAACCTAGTTTAAACTACATAATAAATTATTGAGTATTGGAAATCTCTAATATCCCTATATTTTGAGCATGTGTGTAGTTTGACTAACCTGAATCGAATCTATAAAGAGAAAATTAGTTTTTTGTAATAACCTCAATGGACATGGACAATTGTTAAAAATAATTCTTTTTCCAAAATTATCTCTATCGGGTAAGTAGAGACGGAATTCAAGTTACTTGATATCCAGTCACGTTTTTCTCACAACCGTGTGATTTCTCGCAATGATGAAACAGTTTAGAACATTTCTGAAGTTTTATCCAAAAACAAAAACCCGACGTATCTATTACGACACTCTTTTGTACTACTTGCACAATAATTCAGACCCATTTCCGAGTTACAACCATGGTATATGAATATAATATAAAAATAATGATACAAAGTAAATCATCCTTACCTCCCTCGTATATTTTTCGCTAGCATTCATGTCCACGTTACGTCTGGCCATTCCATTGTCACCTTTTATGCCTGGTGGAACTTCGTCTTCCCGACACGATTCCACGTGGCAGTAGCGCATAGCACATTTGCTGTTGTCGTCCGACCAAAAAGGGCATGGTCGCTTCAAGTTCACCTGAATAACGGAAATATTCATAAATGGTTGATAATAGCGCATATACAGTAATGGACAAAAGTATATAGACAAATTAATATTAGGTATTGTGCTGTTTTTCTTTTTCAACTTGTTTTATTAATACACCAACCTGTATACATACTTCGTTATAGCATAATACTCACTTATACATAAATAAATTCATTAGACTCCCTTCAATAAAAAATTAATTGAAAAAAACTGGAACTATGAAGGACAAAAATATATAGACAAAGCAAAACAATTATATGAAAAAGAAGCAAAGATCATTGAATTATAGAAAACCAACCATGTTTGTGTTAATATTTTGTATCATAACCATTATTATCAATCACCGCCTGGCATCATCTCGGCATAGATTGTAGAAGTTTCTTGATATAAGATTCATCAATCTGTCACTTTTGCTTATCTAAGTATTTCATGCCAGATAAATCCTTTACGTCCCTTCTAACGACATTGAGGCTTGACAATAAAGTTGCCATTTTTTACGCATTTGTCATTTACAAAGTTCAAAGTATATGGAAATACAATGTGTTCACTAATCCACAACAATAATGGATGAGTAATATTGATGTTATGATTTTTCCTTTGTGCCTTCATTAACTCTAACCGCATATTGTTTTTATTGTGAGATAATGAACACTATCATTTAAGACGAAATCACTGACTATAGAACAAAGGGTTTTTAATTTTTTGGCGCAATAAAGCCTGGAAAGTATCGAATTTTTTCATGTATGATTTCTACTTCGTAAGTATACATATCACCTATCTCTGATGGTTTGTCTGAAGCTTCTTCTTTGGTTGTTCGTAATTTTACCACACGCCCAACCATTTTTCATGAAATTTGGAAAGTAACATGCAACATAACAGTGTAGTCAAGTGGGCATTACATGTGACTGATGATGTTTCCAACAATCTTCCTTGCTCTTCATTTTCTCTTTGCTTTCACTTAGAAGAGGCGTCGATGTTTTTGCAGGGATGTCGACGGTTTTTCAGGTATGTCACTCAATGTGCGGCCAAAAAATTTTTTTTTGAAGTGGTGAAAGTTTATAAAAATCTGCAACCTCAACCCAAATTATGTAAATCGGTTACAAAGATTACGAATCTGGTGGCAGCTTTTCGTCGGGATCGACGCGACATCCAAAGAGTTTCATTTTCCTACTTCCAATACAACATGGCAACATATTAGCATTTTTTGATGACTATATTAGGAATCATCGTCCAAAATTACCCCGGTTGAAAGAGTTTCATGCACTTGTAATATTTGTAATTTGAAGGTAAATTATACAAAAAAAAAATTTATAAATTCTTGAGTACCTCCATTCTGGCCCAAAACCCATTTTCTACATAAATCGGGCGCGTAGGTTACGAAGACGAGAAACATTGAAGTGTAAAGGTTATTCAAGAATATTTTAGTTCAATTTTGTGTTTGTGTAATCTTGGTCAAAACTCGATTTCATTTAAATCGAGTGGATAATTATGAATCAGATGCCAACTTTTTGTCAAGATTGACTTGAAAAGTCTCATTTTCATATTCCAAACAGGATTTAACAACCTTTATCATTTTCTGATAGCCATATTTAATATCATGAATTACCCCTGTCAAGGGGATTAAGATTGTTTGTGTGGTACTTAAGCTTTTTTTGTTCAAGGTATGCGAAAATATATCTTCAATTGCTTTTCAAGTTTGCAATACGGAATTTAATTAAAATATTCAACATGAATGCTCCTGCATTACAGGTTGTCTAGACCAGAACTATTTAGAGGCTACCAGTTGTAGGACCTCTAATTTTGCTTTGCCATGGAGACTACAACTGTAAATCCACACATGCTGGCTGCCAAATAAATGTGTAAATAATATTTAAACTTTTTTTGTGCTCAAAATAGTTGCAACATTATGTTGCTTCTACACCAATCTACACATAGAAACATAGATGCATCTATTTTATTGTAATACCACAGTTGGACTGGGTCTTTTTTAGTTATATGTTTATCGATAAGTTTATCAGTAATTCTACCTTATAAAACCGGAAATAATCCTTAACAAGCAAACTGGACAGCCTGGGGTAGATCTTCACATTATTGAAATGATCCACAGTGTCAATATTGCAAGTGCACTCGTCTATTTTGCCAGATAACTGACAAAAACAGTCGTCCTGTTTGTCTTGCTGAAAGTAAGCCAGGCATTGACTAAGTAGCACGAAACATAGTACACTTTTCAACATCTTCGTTTATTTTGACCCCCGTAGTGGTATCGTACATGGTGTACGCAGCTCTACCGGGAATTACAGTTGTTCTTGCAGTTATCTCTGAATTGTGTGACGTGCTGTTTGTTGTGTGTATCGAACTACAACTGGACACGTAATGTAATCTTCAAAAACAGCTGTTCAAACGTCAAAATTAATTATTTCCGAGAATTGAGGTTACGTGTGCCAGCACACGAACGCTGAGAGCCGTGGAATTTTCTGACATTCGATGTATACTCGAAGTAGCCGTGCAATGTTGCCGGTTTAATTCTTCTGCCTGGAAAGTACGACGAATCGTAATTGCTAACAGCACAAAACAGTGCAAAATGTGAACAACTTCTTGGAGAAGAGTTTAGTCGATGGTATAAGTTTCAAACCTAATTGACATGGTATACGGATCTGCGACTTTTACATTCTAAAAACAATATTTGGTGAAATTTGTGTAGTGTTTGAGCCTACCTTATATCTTTTTGGACGTTGGTACTCAAGAAAGCGCGAAAAAATTTTACCACACCCAGAATTCAAAAAAAAAACAAATGTGGAATGTATCCCTAAGGCAGGGGTACTACGCTGAGAAAAAAATTCTGTGTAATCTCCCTAGTAGGTTCCTATATGCTAATCAGTGAGGGTATAACTTACTGATTTTCTAGGACGTCTAATACTGGAATTTCCCCATGTTTAGCTTTTTAGCTATTAGTAATTTTTTTAAATCTGGAAGTGGAGATGCTGTTAAATTGTACCTACTGAAAGTATGCATCGAGCTGCTACAAGAACCGAGAGACCGTTCCCAGCTTTGTTCGTGTAAGTGGGTGAGGTGCGATCGCGAAGTATTGCATGACTATTGTCAATATAATTTATATTATGGTCTATTACTGCTAGTTGATATACAGGAAGGTCAGGGTTACTTATTATTTGAGCGGATGAAATTGACGCATGAATATTATATTTCTTGTATTCCATTTAAAATTGTCCAAAATGGCGCATAGCCGCCATCTCGACATTTTCAACGGACACTGACTCTAAAATAAATATAGTATTTATGCATCAATTTTATTACTCCGAATTTCAGTTGGCTAAGTTGACTCGTTCAAAAAATAAGCAGGGGGGACTTTTTGAAAGCACTGTTTATGTTGCAGTTGAATCTTTTCAGCTCCTCAACCAGTTGAAATCCGTTTCTGATACAGCAGTATGTATTATCTTTAAAAAGAAGATACTTGAAGACAGCTTGCTGAACTAATGAGCGACATATAAAACCTCATAAATCTGTTTCTGGCTAACAAATACCTATGAAGATGCGTCATCCTGTTATATTTGTATATTTTTCAAAAAAATGGTGATAGAAATTCAACTACTAGCGAGAAATATAGCTCTAGAGCGTTTGCACTAGTATTTTATAATATCTACTCTATCTAAGAGATTAACAAACGCACTGTCTTGATGAATAGCTTCATTTTGGAAGACAATATAGCCGGGATCAATTTTGTGCTGTTTCATTTTGTACTTTGGGAACAAACCTTTACTTGTGCCGTGATGCCAGACTTAAGATCTTACCAACAGGGTAGAGAAAGGTTGGGTTCATTGGGATTTCCATAAATGTTCTCTGCACTGTGCAATTACGTAAATTAGATTTAAACTGATTTGGATTTCCCCATAATTTGGTATCTTCCAATTTTAATTTATTTGTTAGACACTTCTTTGATACGAGTGATATTTCCATGTTCGTTAAATCGACTGTGGATATACTTAAAATACCCTCGGCTGTCTCCACACAGGTGCGGATCTAGAAAATATTTTCAGAGGGGGGGTCCATATGAAAAAAGTGCTGACGGAAGGAGCTCAGAATTCATGATCAGGAGGATGTTCGCCTCCTATCGCAGCGAGAGGGGGTCGTCGCAAATTGAAAAACGTGCAATTTTTTTTACTTTGATTGTTGCTAGGAAACGTTGTTCTGTTATGAACATATTTTTGGCCTATCGTGGTAGTTTGCTATTATTTGTCCTCTGTTAAAAGGGAGGTCTTTTTCAAACTTTGGCATCGGCAGGGTTATTACATAAAAAACTATACGAGGGATGTCTTTTAAGTTTTGCATATAGAAACATAGTAGGCCGCGCGGATCGAACGTCAGTACTGAATCTTCACCTCACTCTTTAGTAAACTTAAATTCAAAGTTTCACAACAATACGTGCAGTGTTCTCACTACAGTGAATTTTTAAGTGTCACCAAGTCATTAGAAAAATGGCACTGAACCGAGAACATTTTCGCGGCATAATTTATTACAACTTTCAGAGATAATTATCGCAACAACAATGCCTTACTGAGTTACTGTCTGTTTTCGGCAACGAAGCGCCACATCAGTCGACAATTTCTCGTTGGTATGGAGAATCCAAACGTGGACGGGTGAGTCTTAGCGACGATCCCAGGGGCACCAAAAACGGCAGTCAGCCAGGAAAACGTCGATGCTGTGCACAAACTCATAATTGAAGATAGACATGTGACATATCGCGAGATTGAGACGTCCTTGAAGATCTCAAAGACCTCAATTCAAAAAATTTTACATGAAGAATTAGGAGTAAGAAAATTAGTTTCTCGTCGGATACCCCACTTGTTGACTGAAGAGCAGAAAGCGGCCAGGGTTAACTGGTGTCAAAAAACGCTTGACCGTTTCAATTCCGGAAACTCAAAAAATGTGTACAGTATTGTTAGTGGTGATGAATCGTGGATTTACTGTTATGAACAAGAAAATAAACGACAGTCGGCTATTTGGGTGTTCCAAGGTGAAGAAAAGCCAACAAAAGTCATCCGTTCTCGAAGTGTTTCGAAAAAGATGGTCGCGACATTTATATCAAAAGCGGGTCATATTGCAACAATTCCTCTTAATGAGCAAATACATGTTACTGCGGATTGGTGTACCACCATTTGTTTGCCAAAAGTCATCGCCGAGCTTCGAAAAATCAACCCCGGAAGAAGAATCATCCTCCAGCAAGACAATGCAAGCTCGCACACAGCCCAAAAAACAAGGCAGTATTTAACGGAAGAAAACGTGGAATTATTGGTCCATCCTCCATATAGTCCCGATCTAAGTCCTAACGATTTCATTACTTTCCCGAAAATTAAAAACAGACTGCGTGGTCAAAGGTTCAAGTCACCAGAAGAAGCAGTTGTCGCATTCAAAAATGCCCTTTTGGATCTGCTAGCAAACGAGTGGAATAAGTGCTTCGAAAATTGGTTCGAGCGCATGCAGATGTATATTAATCTTCGTGGAGAATACTTCAAAAAACAATAAAGTCATTTAAAACTACCTACCGTGTTGTTTTATTTCCATATCCAAAACCTAAAAGACATCCCTCGTATAATGTAAAAAAGCTATAAAATGTAAACTTAAACTAAGTAGGCTAGTGTGCAAATAGTTCAATCCGCGCTTGGTACAAGTAAGCAAGAAATGAATAACAGCTAGTTTTAAGTTGCCGTCTTGCAAAAAACCTAAACATTGTCAAAAAAACGGCAATGTCACTTTTAAAATTACGTAATACCCCTGCCGGTATCTTGAATACCACACTGTTTGAGACGCTTGTTTATATGAACTTTTTTACTTAAATCTGGTTCCCTGTATAAGTAACAACCTTTATTTTAGAAAAGGCCCTAATTTTTACAACAACAGTCAAAAATAGGTGGCTTATAGCAGCTCACAATAAAAGGCATACAAATTAAACTAAATCTAATTATATTATGTTCAAGCACTATTTTTTATATGCATGACAAATACTTTCTTGAAATGACCTACAGCCACTGCATGTTTTTATTCGATTTGGTAGGTAACTTATTATATTCCGTCAGACCTTTGTACATGATTGTTTTCACTGTGCACACTTTATTAGTTTTAATTAAATGAAAATATGGTTCTGCTGTAATAGGTATGAGGAGGTGCAGCTAAACAATTAGGCCAAGTTCCTTTGACAAATTTGAATATAAATGCAATGATAATTAAGTAAAGATGTTGGCTCACAGAAAACCACTGTAAAGTATCTTCAATTCTTGTGTATTTGTTGCATTCCCCTATTTTGTAGTTTTTGTAGTGTGCTTATTTTATTTTGGATGAAGAAATCAATAAAGATGAATAATAGTGGAAACGGGGCTTAATTATTGAATTATAAACCGTAACTCTTGCAAATATTGACATAGTATCTTTGAAATTTTCTTAATAATGTTTTTAGTATTGAGCTTCAATTTGTATTATTTTTAAATATGCTTCAATACTGGCAAGGTCACGGTTTATAATGTCAACTTGGTAATCCAGGATTTTGCCAGCTAGTTACACCAACCTGTCATCAGCAAATATGTTTATGCAGCTACTTATCTGAAGAAGTTACATAACATTTAAATATATTATAATGCTTACAGCTTGCAAATGAATTGTGTATTTTCTGGTCAAATATGTTAATCAATGGCTTTAGTATCTCTAGAGGCGCTAAAGACCTTTATTATCCATAAGTTAATTTGTTCCAGATTCAACACGGCCAAAGACGGTTTCCTCTCCCTCCCAGAACTGAAACGCATGATGGAGCAGCTGGGCGCCCCTCAAACTCACATCGGCCTGAAAGGTATGATCAAAGAAGTCGATGCAGATGGTGATGGAAGACTGTCATTCGCAGAATTCATGATGGTGTTCAGAAAGGCCAGAGCTGGGGAACTGGAAGAGGACAGCGGATTGGGCCAATTGGCCAGGCTCACTGAGGTCGATGTGGGTGAGGTCGGAGTTACTGGGGCCAAGGAGTTCTTCGAGGCCAAGGTATAGAGTGCGTTTCATAAAGATTCGCGTGGGCCCCCGCAGAGGGGTGCCAGGGGGGGAGGCGTATGATAACTTAACAGTGAGTTTTATTCATTTTGATCTGTCGATGTAGACTATTGAGCAATCTTCAACTGCAAGTGCTGGATTGCCATGGCTCATGAATCCAAAACGCGATCACTATTAACCGCGTTTTGGATTCATTAAGAAATCAAATGCAGAACTTGTAGTCGAAGATTGCTTAACACATCGGCAGCTAAAACAAATGGACTATGACGCCTGGAAAACACAAACAAATGAATGTCATTATCAATTTCATAAACGTATGTGTCATTATTTTAACGCACAACATCCCGAATTCTGTTGATATTTTCATCGGCTCTTGAAGATGATTCATCTTCAATCGACTCTCTCCCTTCTGAAAACACCTTAAACCACCGAATAACCTGGTCTCTATCTTGGCGAGTTTAGCAAGAGTTTCCGTTGCACTGTGGCCAAACCTGAAGCAAAACCTGATAGCACACCGTTATTTGAAATTGATTTCCCGCATTTTTAGAACTCAATAGAAAAAGCTGTTTCACAAAAAAAGTTGCTACAGACAACCAAAACCAAATGACCCGAGCGAGTTCAAACTTGTATTGAAGGCGGATCACATGTTCCCCTGTCTCTCCTCTAAGCCCGACGCCTGCAGTGTTGCCAGATCGAACGCCACGTTGCCAGTCTCATCATTTAATTCACAGACCTCGTATACCACTACAGGCAATCACAAAAATCTAATCAGCGATCACAGAAAAACAACGTACAAAAACGTGACCAATAGCCTTATTCACTGCTTTTGGGATCGCTTTTTGAGAAAGTGATATTTGTTTCAGATCAACGATTTGGCGAAGAAAAGTAAATTCGAAGAAGAGCTTCGTCAAGAACAAGAAGAACGGAGGAGGGAAGAGGAAGAGCGTGCAGTCCGTAAAAGGCAATTCTTAGAAAAAGCTGCTGTTTTTAAATTAAATGCCTGACTCCCCAAGGTTAGTTTTCACGTATATGGAATATAGAAACCTTCCACAGCATAAGTCATTTGCGAGATCTTGACATTTTTTTATCTATGTAACATTATTTCATGTATATATGATTATTTTTTTTATTGTAGAACTATTCTATCAGTTTGTTATTTTGGCTATGTGTAGTTTGATTGTTTTAAGCTTTTTATGACGTTGTTTGTGTTGAGAATCTATTTCTAAAAAAACATCTACTTTTTAATTATCGGATAAATAGTATTTGAGTGTACGTGGCGTGGCAAATAAGTTCCGCAAATCTTCTATCAAACTCTCTTTCAAAATTTCCTCCTACGATTCGGAGTATCATTTGCTTACAAAAAGTACGGGTACAAAGAAGATGTAGGCGTGGTGCTCTACGGGTCAACTCCTTAGGACCTAAGAAGTTTGCATGTAGAGTAACATGGTTCCAGTTTCATTGACAACACAGGCTGACAAGATTCTTACCTTCCCGAAGGTTATGGTCCAAATCTGACTTGGATTTAATTTCCAAGATATCCTAACCTAAAGGTACAAAAATAGCGATTTTTGCTTATATTTTTTTTCAAAAAACCATCTTAAAGAATAAGACTTGCCATTTCAAATGACGTTGAGTTTGCTTTAATATCTTTTTTTTTAGCTGAGATATGGCGCTTTGATATTTTAATTTTTCTGTATTTCACTATATTTGGTACTCTACACGTTATGATTACATGTACATTAAAGTTGTGGTTATAATACACCAAAAATTTAATAAGAATATATTTAAGACCTGTCAAATAAAACAACCCATAAATGCTCAACATCAAATCCATAAAATAACTAAAACATACGGAAACCACAACTCACAATCCGGATTTTATTGTTGGCATCCGGAAAACAAAATTTGCGCCTTTTGCACTTATTGGACCAATTAGAAGGCGTCTTTGAAGTAATGGATCTAATGAATTTGGTCGATTTCTTGTAAAATGCCCATCGGACTAGAGCAAAACATACTTTTTTATACTTGAACCACCACGAAGGTCTAAACATACATGGGTACCGTGGGCCTATAGGGGGTACAGGCGAAAAGGGGGGACGCCTCAAGCAAGGGAACACGTGTACAACATTCACACATTTTGGCCCCGCCTCAGAGATCCGCCCGGTGGTACCTCCGAGTTCGACAGTCAGAGAGCGTCTACCACCTCATTTTAAATAAAGAAATACTTTACATATCATATGAATCAGCTACAAAAACCTTTTTTCATTTGTATCCGGACACAAATTCGACCAATCAAAAAGAAGGATTTGCATGTAGTCGCGAATTCTGCATGATCAATTATTTGAAGACAAATAAAATTACAGAATGTTTATTCTTTAACAACCATCAACCATCAATAATCGTATACAAAGAAAAAACAAATTAAAAATGAAAATCAAATAGCGCAAGAAATTTCTGTAAACTTTGTAGTATACGGTATTTAAACGAATGCTACTAAAAATCTCAAAAATCCATTCAGTGGACCCGGGTTCCGGTCTAACTAGAAGCTAAAAGTAGGGTTCCCCATGTCTAGATAGACGATGAGGAATGACCCAGTGTAGGTATTTCTTGACTGGAATTTAATTGTCACTCCACGTATGATCAGTCCACATTTTTCTTGAGAAACTAGTCTTGATTTCTACTTGATTTCATTGACAGTGAAACATTTTATGTCGCATTGTCTTTCTGATTCAAAAATTGCATAAGTTTAAATGTTTGTGATAAGAGTATGTGCATTATTTTAATTACAAATATTTTTATTTTTGGTAGATGCTATGAAGGAACTTATACATATTTATTTATATTTTGACTTTTAAATGATACGTTTTACGATTACTAGTTATGAGCTGTTCCATTTTTCACGTTCTTTTATAAAGAATATGTACACTATGATATACTATTCTTTCTTTTTTTCTTATTTCTTTGACCTTTTTCATGTATATTTGAGTTTTAAATGTGATATTTATAGTTTGTAGAAAAGACGTGAATTATCTCAAGATATATTGAAGCTACAATGTGCCTTTTCAAAATGAAGCATTTTTATTTCTTTATCAAATGGGTTGATTCAAGTACCGACATCTCTGTTATGCAGTGGTGTCATCACCTGAATGCGCCCGATATGCACATTTACTGCGTTGAGATAGTTCACATTGCAATAATTATTGGGTTTTTAGTAAATGTAGGTTAAGGGAAAATTGTTAATTTTTATAAAAAAAATAAATATGTGCAATCTTCTTAAAGTTGCGTTTCTATTCCAAAAGAGTTGCTCCGAAATATGTGCAATAAGTTGATAGAATGTAAAATTACCTTCAGTACAATTCCACAAACTCGTGCGTTAGTGGTTTTGAATTAATGAAAACAATGTGCTTTATCAATCATAGGACACATACTCGTATAATTTACATTTTTAGTAAAACATAATTCCATTAGCAATTTATTTACAATATAAATAGACTACGATTCGTAACCTACGATTTACTCGCAATTTGAGAGAAAAATATAGCTTTAATTGACCTGGACTATAATATACAGGCTGCTCCTTGGTGAAGTGCTAATATTCCAGGATATAACTCATCATATAATTACATGAAGAAAAGTTCATATGAACGTATGTTCGCAATGGCCTGAATTTTTCACTACGGGGTGTTGAATTTTTACTTAAAAAAAGTTTAATTTTTTGAAAAGATTATTTTGATTGGATTATTTTAATATATTCTAATATTACGTGTTAGATTTGGCTTTGTTGAAAAACAAAGCGTCCTCCTCCTTGCTTGCATTGGGGATTACTGAACGGATTTCACCAGCCCAAGGTAGTCATTCAAAACGGTGGACGTTGTGGTAGTTACCGATATGCAGCGCCATCTATTGGAGAGTAGCCGCCACCAAAAAAAATCGTTCAGTTGGGCTACCATCCCATAGATGGCGCTTCTTTGTAAAGTGCTATCACAGACCTCACAAAATTTAACTAGTCAAAAAGATCCTTTAGGGGCGGTTGGCCGGGGTTCGGGATGGGTTTCGGCAACGCATCCTCAAAGATCAAGAAACTTAAATTTCCGTGAGGGGGTTAAATATCCCCCATTTTTTGATGAAAAGGTTATTTTATTTGGATTAGTTTATTATATTCGAATATTACGTATTAGATTGGCTTTTGTTGAAAAACAAAGCGTTCTCCTCCCTATATGCAGTAGGGCTTACTAAACGGATGTCAGCAGCTCAAGGTAGTCATTCAAAATGGTGGACTTTGTGGTGGCTACCGATACGCAGCGCCATCTATTGGAGAGTAGCCGAATCAAAAATATATCCATCCGTATGCCTTTCTTAAATGATTTTAAGGTAATTCTGTGCATTTTCAACTAGACAAAAAAAACAAACCGTTCAGTTGGGCTACCATTCCATAGATGGAGGCTCCTGTCACAGGCCACACAAAATTTAATCCTGCAACTTTTGTGTCGGTGCGCGCGTATCTCGCCGTATCCAAGCAGATGTCGCTTTGACAGTGGCGCGCGATGTGTTTTACTGCTCTCTTCCTTTTTGGAACCCAAGCACAGTGTGTACGTGGAAGGTTCGAGAATAATAAGCATGTATAATTTTATCACTTAAGAAAAATATATTTGCATTTTTAGTACAACAAATAATTTCAATAACAATTTATTTACAATATACCATGTTAAAAATATATTGCGTCTCATCTACCTGTTGGTTTATTCACAATTTGATAGAAAAATATTGCTTAGTATCATATAAACATACGCTCAACCCTGCGTTTAGATTGAAATATTTTTCGTAATTTCGTAAATATGATCCAGAAAAATCTTCGTGATACCGACGTGAGGGATTTTTTACAATGATCTGATGCTTTTCACTGCTGCCCCTCTGCCCTTAGTGCCGGTACACACGGGCGTTAAATTGACGCGCTGCAAAAAAATGCTCACTTAATGTTCACACAGGACGCGTTTCGACGCTGTTCGACAAGTCCTGGCGAGTGTTTGTCGAGCTGTAATTTTACAGCGTTTAATCGCGTGAAGTAAACGCGCGTTTATTTGCAGCGCGACAATTCGACGCCTGTGTGTACCGGCAGTTACATGAATAGCCTCCACAGATACACAAAAATCGTCCGCTCACGTATCAAACACCGTGTTCATTTGGAGTTTATGCCCAAGTTTTCTGACACATCAGGCGATATTTTAGCAAAATACACGCAGTCCGAACGCAGGGTTTGGGTAACTTTATCAATATAGCTTATAGTCACAGAACAGCTGTACAAAAGAAGACAAATGAGATATAAGTGCCACAAGAAGAAAATACAGCTTATACCTAGAGTGGGTTGGATACGTTCCATGGTGGTTGTGTGGTAAGCAAGAGGGCTCATTTATGCACTCGATTTGTGTCACTTGACGTTTGACACCCGTACGTCAAGTACACCAACCTTAAGAGGTGCATGTCCACTGAAGAAGGAAGATATGCAAAGAGAAATTAATCTTCCGCTGAGTTGCGTTACACACAATTAATTGAAAACTGACCTGTCACGTTTGAAGTGTGCAAACGAAAAATGTCGCCGCGGTTCCCATTACTTTGCTGCACCTCAGAAAGGATGTGCAACTTGAATAAGCCCTAACCTTATCAGGACACAAACTTTTGCCAAACGCCAGTGCTAATATCGTTAGTCAAACGTCTATATACTGACAGGCATAACGCTTGAATGGCACAAAAAATATAAGATATAAAATGTGGACGCTACTCTACATCTCTTGGCTAGCCAGTAAAATGGAAGAATCGTGATTTTAGGTTAGCCAAGTTGTTAGAACAGATTTAACAGTTGGACAACCCTTATTTTTGCTTTTATAAAAATATTGGCACTAGATCTCAAAAAAATTGAGTTTACAGTTAAACAGATATAAAAATGTAGCTTACATATCTAGCTCTTCTGCAATAAAACACATCATACTAGCTAAAAAATACCTGTTCATCTGATTTTAGCTTAGAAACGCTCAGGTATCTGACATAATATACACATCAATATATTTTCCACGATACTGCATCACGTTTTGACGTCTATTGAGGTGAACAGCTGTCTATCTTAAAATCTTCACCAACCTGGGGGCGTGCATCTACGTCGCGTATCCAATTTATTAAATTCAAATACTCCCTTTCGAAATACAGATTTGCTAGTTACGCTATTACAATTTTGCAGATGAGAATCTATACTAACATAACTAACACAATAGTTATGATGACTATTTAATTTTGTATTTAAGTTTTCTAAATGTTGTGGTAATAAATTAATTTGAATATCAAAATGGGTACTACATAACATATTTTTTTACATTTAACCACTGCAGTTTTTCTAATATAGACTTAATCTTAGTGTTAGAGAATTTATTGTATAATCCATAGGACCAATAAATTATCTATCTAATTGGGTTTTTACGTAGGCACCAAGTGTCGAGAGATATACTGCTTACAGATTGTCAGAGCTGCGTGTGACTTGATGAAGTATCGTGAAAAATAATATAGGCACTATCTTTTGATTGCGACTCTCACTACTAGGATCCATCTGTACACAATTTGTAGTCCGAACAAAAATCATCAATTTACCTCTACTATGATCTATAGACCTCACCATGACAAGACAGATGAAATTGCAAGACATTCCATACATTGTCCACTGTAAGGGTATGTGACTACCAGAGAGATCAGTTTTGAGAGTATTTTCAAAGACAACATAGGCATACTGTCTTTAAAACGTTCGGAAGACCGAATCATCAAATGGATTTGCTAGCCTCTCTGGACTACAATTTATGAAAACGAGGAAGAAGTATATCCAATATAAAGCGATTATTTTTATCACGTTTAGCATTAAGATTGTGAATTCATTCCTAGATTTTTCATATTATTGAATGTTTCATCACATAGCCGTTCAGACTTTCATACTGTTTATCAATAGAATGGCCTTGGAAGCGACTATTCTATAAAGAAAAAAGTATACAATTCCCTGAAAATTAACAAGTAAATCACTAATGCTTGTTATATATTATTCTAGTCACTTTTCAAGAATTAATCTCCTAATTTCTAGAGGTATTCCTAGGTGATTGAATAGTGAATGGGCAGAAGCATAAAATGAATTTAAGTCCTAGCTAAAGCTGTTTGTCAAAATGGAAGGGTAAGTATGTTTTTTGTTCAGACTAGCGGTAAAACTCTCTAAAAATAACTGTTGGGTCAGCTGCCCATTATCTAAAAATAAGGCACTTTTTTCGTGTCACCTTAAAGTGGCGCACTAGTATCGAACACTTGAAAATGTTGAAGACATAAGACATAGAGCGGTCCAGCGGTGCAGCGCTTTTGATCTGAATAAAATGGAACAGCTTTGACAGTTCGCAATATATCGAACGTTACGAAAGATTAAAAGCTGCTGTCGAACTATTCCATCTATTTCATGGTTACTGATACAGTAATACACAACAAAAACGCTGCTCTGATGGACTTCTCTACGTTAGCTGTAAAAAATCTCACGATAATTAGGCCCGACTGTTTAGTAATTTCTTAGAGCCGCCCTATTATGTATAGGGACTCCGTATTTGCTATAGTGAAAGGAGAGTGTCAAATATCTTCCTTAAAATTCCTTATAATATTTTCCTTCCCTCAGTCATGAGAGCGCCGAGGCATTGATGTACCTCGATCTATAAAAAGATAGTTCTTTCTCTCCTTCCGATTGTTGAACTGGACTGAGTTTAAGGATTGGAAACATCTAAAACCCCTAGCGCTCTCAAGACCAGTTGGATTGGGCTTAGTCTAGAAGACTGGTTATTAGCTTAATAGAATGTTAGGGGATTTTAAGGAAGACATCTGTCACCGCTGTCAAGGCAAATAAAGTGTCCACACAATATGGTTACGTAGATGGAACATTTCAAATAATTGGTTCACTTGCAAAGACCGAAAAAATCTGTATCTAGACTTATTATTACATTTTCGAAAGTTCGACACTAACCAAGGTCACGATAATTAAAATATCAATAGTAAAAACAGCACATTAAAATACCTAATAATTGTACAATAGTGCTAGAAGGATGCGTCCCAGCCTGAGGTGTCTGCAGGAGGTGGGCCGTCATCATCTGAGGGATACTTATCGAAGTTTGAGGTGTCCGTGACACTTTCAACTTTTGGAAGTATAGGTGGCACTAGTGTTCGGGTTACCAGGCCCTCCCAGTTGAAACCGTCGAACCATCTGAAATATATATGATAATTAAATATTCTATTTAAAATTTTAGGTACACGAAAAGTAACTAGCTTTTTTTACTACGCCCAAAGATTTGGAGATTTAAAAATTCTGTCCCCTACAAGAAACTTCTTAATCGCGGCTAATCATCATAAGAAACTGAAAAAATGACGTCAAGTAAGTTAACTGTTGATTATGAAGACCAAGCCCGCAGCAGTACGGAAGCGGTTGCCGACTGTTACGTACGACCATCGACGGCGAAGCTTGTCCATCGGGAAACGACGTAGCACGTATCCACATCCGACTGTAGGAGTTACTTAGTTTTAGGGGTAAATGTACGGGGACATCTATGATGAGTGAAATTTGCAGAATCAAGGGCGTTGGAGGCGTATAAATATACCATCAACAAATTGAGACATACCCTCACCCACCCCCTGCTACCCCTAACCCCGAATTTTTAACCCCTACAAAAATGTTTCAGAAAATGATCAGGATCGTTTATAGTTAGACCTCAAACGCGCATATGTTTTACTTCGCCATCTCAAGGCCAAACTATTGTCTCAATTTTTCGCAGGACACATTGTTTCCTTTGAATATCGAAGTACTATATCTGGCTTTTCAGATACATAAACTATGTATTATGCAATCTCTACTAAAATGTTGCAAACATTTAACCGATATGTTACAACAGTTCTGGATGGGTTTTGGCATTTTTTGGAGGGCTTTTCGCATCTTCGGGACGATGGACGAGTGTGACGTATCTAGTATTTGACATTGTTTGTCTGTTTATAACTTTATATATGGCGGATATTAGCGCCATCTGCCATAGCTTTCCTGATTACCCCCATTGGAAGCTAGAAGGTACTAATAATAGATTGTGCAGGTGTGCTTGTAGAGTGTCGTTTCCTGTATCCTGTTTCCTGTTATCATTTTTGATGGCACTATTCGTCATTTGTCTGTTTGAGCGGCCCGTAGGTCACTGTCTACTGTACGTTGGTCGAACCTGTCAGTCCTAGTTGCCCAGAAACCAGACAATGTCAACGAAAATTGGAGAAGGCAAGAATGAAAAAAAAGGACAGCAAAGAAAATGGTACTGTATCAGTTTAAGTGGAAACACCTAGGTTTTTAATTTGTCACAAGTCATAAAAATTTTTCAAAATGACACCAGATCGACTACCACTTCGCTAGTTGGCATGAGATGTAAAGTATTTCAAGGCTATGAAACGAGAATGAAAACTTACTTGTGTTTCCTGATATCACTGATTCCTCCTTTTTGATACCCCAACCGCTCAGCTGGATTATCCCTGCATAGTTTTTTGATTAAAGCCATTGCGTTTCTAGTAATATTTCTTGGGAAATCTATTGCATCTATGCCCTTCAGGATAATGTTATATGTTTTCATCGGGTCGGTACCTGTAACAAAAAAAGTGCAGGATATTAAAATGAAGTTTTGGACTGTTGCAACAATGTGACTCTAGAAGAAGCAGATTATTGAACTTTATTTATAATCGTCAGAGTTCAGACCCATGGAGCCTATATACCAGAATAAACTACGACAATGATGTTCGTGTTGAAAACACGACCCCGAAACTTGACACCTGGAGTAGCAGTGGTGCTTTGCCAGGGTTGCCATGTTGGGGGATTTGGCCTCAAATTTGGGGGATTTTTACTTGGGAAATGTTGGGAATATTTTGTTCTGGGGGAAATCAGTTACGCGGATAGGAAAGACAGAAATTATCATCTGCTCTTGGAACACACCTACCCCTTTCCATTAATTAACTTTGATTATGGGGATTCAAAAAAATAGCGATCCTAAGGGATGTTTGTGCTTGTTCTGGGGAAATTCTGTCCTACCCATTTGGCAATGCTGTGCTTTGACATAACCCTTTCTTAATAGTCTAAGATCCGGCCGCTTGAATCTGGAGGTATCTGTTTTTTGATGAAACTTGATTTTTATGAATGATAAATAATAGTAGAATAGATTACAGCAGTGTTGCCTGGCATTCGACGAGACTATTATTTATCATTCATAATAATCAAGTTTTATAAAAAACCTACCCGCAGATTCAAGCGGTCGGATGATCTCGTACTATAACTTCAGGCACCCTGCGCATGCGCAGCAGCTGGTACTCGCTTCAATCGCTGTCATGCGTAGGGTTGCCAGGCGTGGCAACCTGTCAGACCAGGCGACAAGGTTTGGGGTCTTTTATTGGAAATTTGGGCGTTTGCCCATGACTATACGTTTTTTCATATTTTCTTAATCTACCCTAATTTTTCTTGACAATATTATGTAATGCCCTATATATGTATAAAACTCTAGTTTTGAACATGTCACTTACACTTACCCGAAAACGGTGGTGCTCCTGTCAGCAACTCGAACATTAGCACGCCCAACGACCAATAGTCGGCGCTAATATCGTGCCCCTTGTTCAGAATCACTTCCGGCGCAACATATTCCGGCGTCCCGCAGAAAGTCCACGTTTTCCTTCCTGTCTGCAGCTTTTTCGCGAACCCGAAGTCCACCAGCTTGACGTAGCCCTGGTTGTCTAGGAGCAGGTTCTCGGGCTTCAGGTCGCGGTAGATGATGTTACGCGAGTGAAGGTAATCGAACGCTTCTACCACGCACGCCGTGTAGAATCGGGTTGTTGCTGAAAAAAAACATGATCGTTAAATGGTAGGAGTCGGATTTTATCGAATTTTTATTACTGCAAGAAAAATTAAAATAGTTATTGAAACATACTTTGAGGTGTATGAAAACGATTTAGGTATGGATGATTACGAAATTCATAAATGATTTTTTAATAGTTATGTTTTGATGATAGCAGTCACCGTTTTGAGTTGCCTAGTAGGCATCATTGTAAAGATAAAATGTAAAATAGACACACTGTTGGCCTTATTATTGGGTAAATACAAATGTGTTCTATGAAATAAATTTATATTATTGATATACTGGAAATCAGTTGAAAATTTAAACTCCACAGCGCCACATAACCTCCAATGCTCTAGAGGCGCGCTAACTGCATGCTGCGAGTCAGGGGAGGTAATTCTAGAATAAAAAGACAGCTGCTACGCGTAGGAACGCTTATATGTAACCATAATTACATATCTTGTTTCTGGACATTTACGGTGCAGATAAACATTTAAACCTACCACATTGAATAAAACAAAAGTGCATAAATTGTCGTGCCTCTATACACGTTGTGTCGGACCTCTGTACACTTCTTACGGCAATTCAATCACAGAACAATAAGTATGACTCTAAAATAGCATTTTAAATGTTTTGTGGTAGCATTTTATAGTCAAAGCAATATCAATTAAGTCAAAGAAATCAGAAAAATTGCATATTTCGAGACCATCTACAAAGTCAACAAAAGCGTCAGAAATTGCAAGACGCGTTAAAAAATAAAGAAATATTAAAAATGTAAAATTAATAATACTTTATAAAGACAAACATAACTACATTTTTGACAGATACACTTTGGTAGTTCGAGTGAAGATCAACGACTGGCGACAAATATTTTCTAATAAAAATGAAAACAAAATAAGGTGAAAATATATATACAAGAATGTGTATGGTGTGGTATAGGTGGAATAATGCAACAGCTACGTTTGTTTTACTAAATTTGTATAGATACTTGATAGATTGTTTGTATCAGTTCTATAATATTATACTGGTGTGTCTGTCTTCATATATATAATTTCAAGGATCTATCTTTTAAAATAATCCTCTTCTGTGTCTAGAATTTCTGAATTTGCCAAATCAAATTCATGCTGATCCTCAATTAAGTCTTTGGCTACCGCGGTGGGCATATCATTTTTATTTCTTATGTCATACTCATGCTTATACATTCACTGAATCAAGGCAGATACGTCACAACGACAAATAATGACAGGTACGCACATGGTTGCCACATTACTTAAAACTACTGGATCACAGGAAATAAACCACAAATAAACAACAGCCGTTGGCGTAGTTACCTGACAAGCTTTGCGACAATGTCACAACACAGAAAACTGTTACCAACATAAATGTACCCGGGAAATTCAAACTATACGTACCAATTTAGAATCTATTTTGGATTAAGGTCGGCATACAAATATACTAAATATGACGTAACTCCTTTGTTTCAGTGAAAGGACTATACATCTTTTTGTCCTATATATGAATTTGGGCAATCCTTGCATGTTATTTTGTGACTCAAATTGCTTTGCAGATGTTTTTAGTCGTTGCAGCAGGTTTATGTGCTATATGAACTTTGTGTGTCCGAAATATCTTATATTTTCAGATAGACTTGCGACAACAGAAAACTTCACATAATTTTTTCGGGATAGTACTTCTCTTTTCAAGCTCTTCAAGGGGTGAAAAACGTTGTTCGCTTTTTTTTCTAAAAATGTACACAAAAGTTCTATTGTTTTCACTCTACACGTTGAAAATATAAAAGCATGTGAATCCCACCAGACAAGCCCGAAAATATTGCCGGCTTTTGAGGGCAAAATCATGTTCCTTTTTGTGGCCCGCAACTACAAAATTTTGGAAAAAGTAATAAAACTGAAACGTACATTATTGAAACGTCGAACTGGATATTGAAGATCTAAATTTTTAAGTTATGTTGACCGTTTACGATTTCGAAAACATCATAATCATTACAGTCAGACATACCGAATCATGTTTTTCTTTATCTATTCGCCACCCCTCCCCCCGTTACTTCCAGTCCACCTTGTGTAACACGCCTAAATCGCCTACTTTGTGAGAGAGGGGGGGAGGTAAATGGAGGGAGGGAGGTAGAGGAAAAAAGAGAGCGATAGAGAGAGAAGGACAGGGGGGGAGAGAGAGAGAGAGAGAGATGGGTGAGGGGGAGAGGGAGGGGTGGGATGAGAGAGGGGAGAGGGGGAGAGAGAAGGAGGACAGTGGGAGAGAGTGGGAGGGGGGTAGGGTTTGAGAGAGGGAGATAGATGGAGAGAGGGGAGATGAGTGGGGAGAAAAGACAGAACAAGAGAGGGAGGTAAAGGGAGGTGGGGAGGTCAAGGGAGGTGGAAAGGTACAGGAAAAAGAGATAGGGGGAGAGAGAGAGAGAAGGAGATCAAGGAGAAAAAGAGAGAGGGAAAGAGTACAGGCAGAACTCGATACTAGCAAAGATTGAAAGTTTACTAATGTAATTTGAACTCACCATCATCGAAATGCGTTTTGTCCCTGAGCACAGTCCACAACTCCCCGCCGAGGCAACTCTCCATCAGCATGTACAGATACCGCTCGTCCTTGAAAGTTTTGTACAACTTAACTATGAAGTCAGAGTTGGCCTCGCCCATGATCTCCTTCTCTGACATGATGTGCTGTTGTTGTCTGGTCTCCACAATCTGCGCCTTCTTCATTTGCTTCAACGCGTAGGATTTGGAGGGTCTGCCGTGGATTTGGACCAGTTCGACTCGGCCGAATCCGCCCACGCCCAAAGTAGTCAGGGTCCTCAGATCGGACAGCTCCACGTTCTCGAATTCCGCGTCCAGTCTGTGGATGGAGGAAAGACACATTAGGCCACTTTCCCATTTGTCAATGCGAAATGATAAAGAGTAAGATACACGCAACAGATACCTCAGTTGATACCGGAGCCGTAAGGTCGGTGGTTTTACAGAGAACCGGGAATTTCGGGACTACCGATTTTCGGGAATTTGAGATTTTAGGGTCAAGGAATCGTGGTCGATTTACTCTTACCGTAGTAATCCCAACCCCTCCAGTTCCCCCCTCAACCATTGGCAACACATTCTTGACGACATTTATGGCTTTCAAAGCAACATCTGATGAATAAAATGCAACATCAACTTGTTACTAAGTGTTAATTCACTTATCACCTTTTGACTTCTTAGCATTCACCTCCCTTTCATGGTAAAGAGTAAGTATTGCCATTTATACGTATGCGTGAAGTATTTATGCAAAATAGTAAGCTAAATCATTTGAAAATAATTTCTTCTGGATTAAATAGTGAATTGGCAAGAAATTGGTATGGTGTTTTATTATGCAAATGCAATTGAAAGTGGTGAACTTCGCCAAGAAAGTGTTACCAACACTGGGCGTTGAGAGGAAGACTGTTTAGGGGGTAAAATCGGCTTATTATTTTTGGTAGACAATAAAAAAAAATTGAATTTAAAAAAAAAATGGTATAAAAACCTGCCTAATCGATACCCATTCTTTAGTTTTGGTGTTGAAATCAAGTAAATGTTTACTGCTGTGGCTAATTTTATATTAAATTTCAGTTCAATTTATGTGAAAAACGGCATTTCACAACAACAAACGTTGCCTCTCTCCAATAGCTAATGCGTTCACCAGTCAAACGTGGCAGTAATACCAGAACACTAACCAAGGCCGGCACACCTTCTGGAGCGGAAACAGACGCGGCCGATAGGCACGCGATCTGTCTGCTCAGAATATTAAGTGCAAGTGAACGGGGAAATATATTATATGTCTAATAGGTGCGTAGAATTACCAAGGTTGGAATTGGGATGTACCCTCCCCAGCCCCAAATTTTGCACCCCTAAAATATTTTTCAACAATGAATCCTCTGAAATGTCAAAAAAATAAAGTTTGAGCTATTTTTACTTGTCCGTTTTTGACCTTTTTCTCTGACGCTACTGGACCGATTTTCAAACACTACAAAGCTTTTTCGTCGTCGATATAGTAGTAATCTTGTGTGGAAATTTCAACCAAATCCGAGCAGTACTTTTTAAGTTGTAGACGATCCAAGCATTAGTGGATAGACTGACGACAGACAGAACGACGGAACTGAGTGGTTTACATATTATATAACATTAAAAAAAAACATAATATTTCATTTTCGAAATGTTTCCCGATGACCAGTATGGCTTGCTAATTAAACCACGAAGCTTGCGAATTTTGAATGCTTAAAAACGTGGCTACAAATTATAATTGTAGAGGTAGCCAAGTATCAAATTTGAAGCTCGTCTCATCCAGTCCCCGAATGGTACCTCAGCTTATCTTTATTTATTTATTTTGGATCATTGTTAATATTTTGAATTGTTAATCACGCATTACAGGATACGTATTAGTTCAAAATACTCTTCAGAATTTTTAATCGTTTTCAAGCATTGTAATTGATTATGTTTGACGTTTTTCAGATTTTAACTCTCTTATAACTGGATACGGTCCACTTTAAGGACCTTTTTGTCTAGAATGATCTAAAAAAAAAACGATGCGAAAGACTTTAATATGATTTATTAAACACATTTAAACTTGGCATCGCGCTACCTCTCCGCAACTTTTTGATTTATGTTTAGGGGCAAAAAAAGCAATTATGAAACAAATCGAGTTGAACAACTTCGCCTCTCATCTATATTTTAATCTATATTTTAATATTTCCAGAATGAACATTTTTTCACAAGACAGATATGAGTCACGACTACTATGCGTGCAAGTACGTAGACAAAGTGATTCAAAAATCAATGGTAATATAAACAAAGAGTATTCAAAAGTAACTTGAAAACGTTTCAAAAATCATACATACTGGAATGTCCCATCACCAAAATACAGGGCGTTATATTTTTTTACGTTACTGATAGGGGATACAATGTGAATGTTTTTCAAATAACGCTGTGGTAAGAAGGTGTTAGTACACTAATCTACTGCATAAGATTCTCAATGTCAAATCTCACTAACAAGTGGATTTTCAAAGTAGAATGGGTTTAAGCTTTTATACCAAATTTTACTTACAAAAATATTAAAAAAAATTATTCTTTCAGATGAGTAGTCTGATGAAAATTTCTCAAGAAAGGCAATTCATGTAAAATCAAATACCCTGTTAAAATACAATTGATGGTCCAAACAAGTCAGTAATGCAGAAAACATTTTCCTTCAATTCTACTGTAGTGGTCAAAATCTCTGCACACCACAGCACTGGTGTAGCTTGAGATAGAAACTTTTGTATATATTTTCAAAATGTGAGCTTCATACCTTTTCCATTCTGGGGTGTCGTCCTTGCAGTACCTGAAGTATTGGAGAGAGTAAGCCCACAATGCACTTGATTTACCCATGCTGATGTCGCTTTGACAATACACACACTCTCAGGGATATTGCTGAATTTATACCTTCTCAACCACTAGAATATGTCATTAAAGGGCAATTGACTAAATTGTCCTGGATAGTGGGAAATAATCCAGGTTTTTCATTGGCCGAGTGGCAGGTAATAAGATTAGTGACCGGTATAGAGGGCTGCCCATTTCATCATCAGCACTTGTCAGTAATTATGCAAATCACAAATTTTCTTCACCACCTACACCTCTATACCTAACTTAGAGTGGTGTATTTTTTAACTAGCCAGTCTTTTCGTTGTTTTTATAGGACACAAATTGCGCTATCGACTTTCCAGAAATAGGAATTTACATATTTTAGAACATTCTTAAGCGCTCGTTTCTTTGTATTGTGTTCATCACATTTTTTCATTTTTGTCCACAATTCACCCATTACTATTTTTATATGAGCGCAATACTTTTAAATCTATAACAAAACAGAAGGGGGGGGGGAGCGTCACAAAAATTAAGGGAGCAAGAAAAAAATCCAAATTTTGGCTGTAGTTTAATAAGAATGGTCGTATCCAGGCTTCAAAAAAAGAATTTTGAAGCTTTAAAACTCTAGTTTTCAGGTTTTTTAGCCGAAAAAATTTAGTAGCAACGTTTTTCATGCAATTCTAGCTGGTAGCGCAAGAAAAATGTTTGTCTTCTATTTTTTAGTCCACGAGCTTGAAACATATTTTTCTGTTAGGTAATCTGTATGGATCAGATAGCCCGTTTATTCAGCTTCAATGTCATATATTTAAAATCTCGATACGATTATTTCGTGCGGAGATATATAACTTTGAATGAAAAGGATCCTTTTTTCAAGAACTGGAATAAGTCTCCTATAAGATTTAATTGCAAATCTTTGAGGTATTTTTTTTGTTTCCTCAGTATAGTCATAAAAGCTTTTTGTCTTGTTTTGGAAACTGCTATTGGAAAGGCTGTTTTTAGGTTTTTTATACCTCAATGTACCCCTAATAATTCTTTACGACGGCAGGTCGATCCATCTGTTAGGATTACATGAGAACCATTACTCCTAAAATTTTTCTGCCAAAAACCTGGAAAACTAGAATCTTGATGCTTCAAAATGCTTTTTATAGAGTCTAGATATGATCATTTTTCACCGAAAAATGATCATATCTAAAAGCTTATCAAAAATCACCGAGAAAATTGGATTTCTTTCCTGCTCCCTTAATTTTTTGAGTTTATATAAAAATATATATATATATATATATATATATATATATATATATATATATATAATCCGTAGTAAAATATATGGTGCACGTCTCTGTCTCCACCGAGACAAGATTATTTACTGAATGCTTGATCCGCTAAGGAGATACAATTTTATTACGATATCGAAACTCCGAACTTTTAGGAATCTTATTTATACGAAATTTTAGGCGAACCACCCCAGAAATATTGTAGGTACTTTTTGAATCACCCTATATACAACAAAAATAGACACTACACATAAACATCAATTTGATAGATGAAATATTATGGAAATGAATAATGATACCTTAATATGTAGTCTAGAAGATCTTGGAAACTTACGAAAAACCCTTCTCTTGGTTAGCACAAACAAAAATCAACGAGTTAGTAATTATACACAGAAACATACTCGCAAAACAAAAATAATTGCAACTCACCTTCTCCTATCTGCAACTTCATCCTTATATTTGGATTTGATTTCATCCAGATTGGATATCAACTGATTGAACGTTTCTCTGTCTATCACCAGTGCTGATACTCCATCTGGATCGTCAACGATAATGTTAGCTGTCCTCAAATCATCCCTGAGAAAGAAGGAACCGTATTTAGTAAGGAAATATTTCGCACAGTTGAACTTTTAACCATAAATGTAGATTTTCTAGAGAATAAGGCATAATGTCTTTGATCACAAGGTAAGGCACATTATTGTATCAGGCCAAGACTTTTATCATACAGAACTGTAAAACAATATTCTGCATGCACAACTGTCATGTATCTCAGCATCTTAAAGCCCATTCTCAACCTTATCGATTTTTGTTTCAACATCATTTTCGTGATTAAGTAGAATCTGATTATTTTGGATTTCCGTTTTTTCAAACGAGCAATTTCTGAAAGACCCGCCATTATAATTGCTAAACGCACGTTGGCTACCCTGAACAGTTCCTGAGAGGAGATTTATTATATACTCATTTAATCGTTGTCGTTAAGCCATACGAGGAAATCAGTTTTAGCAGCAACTTCTTGTTCCATGCATGCTTTGCATGTGATATTTACCTTTACCCAACAAGACAGAACATGAACATACATATACATTCCAAAAACTGCTGAAATGTGCTCGAGATTCATTATATTTCAAAGGCTATAATGCGTTTCAAAAATTGTCTAGATATATCAAAGAATGTTTATTTTTTAAGAAAGACCTATTCAAATTTATTGCTGATTGACTTAGTTTTTGTCTCATGTATGTTTTACTAATTGATGTTATTTAATTGTATTCAACGTTTTATTGCATGTTCATCCTATTTTATTGATAAGAACTTTTTAAATTGAATATATATTAGGGTTATCCTATTTTTAATGAGTAAGTCCTTTATTCTTCATAAACTTTTGACTTACCCTTGTAAAGCTTTCTCTCCGAAGAAGTCTCCCTTTCCAAGTGTTCTGATGAACTTTTCCTCATTGGAATTGGGCATCTTCATGGTCACTTTGACAGTTCCTTTGCTGATTATGAAGAACGTATCACCCCTCGCCCCTTGCCTGATGATGTAATCGCCGTTCGCGTAAAAAGTTTCTTCTAAAACGTCCGAGATCTTGATCAACGTATCTTCTGGTAGATCTTTGAAGATTGGAACGCTGGAAAAAGGACATAACTTTTCTACAGAACCACCGTAACAAACGAGGACTTTACAGCTCAATACCCACTACTTTTCATCAAAACCGGTGCAATGGTTACTGACTCGATAACAAAGGAGTCATGGTGAACCGACGAAAATGAGTGACAGATTTTCGTGCTGGGAAACTTAATGTCTCTTAACTTATTAAATACTTTCCACGCATACGCGGTCAGGATCAGGTAGGTTGTCTCAGTACTTTCCACGAGAAAATTATAAGCGTGAGATTGGAACATTAAAATAAGGAAAAGTTTGAAATATATACCATACCAAACGAGAACGAAAAACCGACAAATTTTATGAAAATCGGTCAATGGCTACTGACGCAGCCATGGCAACGGATTTTCCTACTAGTCATAGAATGTATGAAAAGTGTAATGTCTTTGAACTTACTGAAATAGTTCTATTGTGTATGTGTGGAAAGTAAAGTAGGTAAATCGGAAACTTTGGGTACACAAAAATTCCAAGCATCATTGGTGAAAAGTGAAATATGAGAATTATCCTATATCGACGTTTTTCACCCACTATAATTTTGTTGAACGCCCTAAAGTAGTGAGGAAGTTGTAAAACGTCCAAAAAAGAATGTTGAGATTTTTAAATCGAATTTACCTCTCGAAAAAATGACATGATTACACCCAAAAACATCAGAAATTCACGCAACAACACAACAGAGTTTTGTAATTTGTCGGTCCAAAGCAAAATATCCACTTAAATGTAAAATGTGACTCATAAATTTTTTTCTTGACTACGCCCAGAAATATGAAAATTGTGAAAAAACGAAGTTTGAGTTTAACCTAAAAATCTTGACCCCTCCAAAAAACATTTTTTGACTACGCCCAAACTTCATCAGAATCCCGTTAAATAGGGAAGTAAAGTAACCAAAATGTCGAATAGTACCTACGTTTTTTTCGTCATGATCATTAGCCAGCGAAAGCGCCAAAAATTACAGAGATGACTAAAGGATATTTTTGATCGATAATAGAAATACTGTTTAGCTTTGTCGCGTACATTTTTGAATAAAATTTCGAAATCCGCTTGAAATAACATTTTCGAGCTAGATACTAACTAAAAACATAGACAATAATTATTATGTTTACAAGACATTGGAACACAGAATGGACTGTTGTCCAAGGTAAAAAGAATATGACTTAAAAAGTTGTATAAAAACCAAGAGCACGCTGGTGTGAGATCATGTGACGGAATTATTATATATTATATATATTACTCTAGAAATTTGAACAAAGTGACAAGAAAACACGTCGAGACGTTGACTCAATAATTTTCTTATAATCTGTTTATCTAGGAAATGAATTGTCGTCTAGATCACAGAAACGCTCGGTATTTTTAAAATTTTCTATAACAGAATCCTCAATTTCCGTGTGGCCTTAAAAAATCGTAGTGTCCTGTGACCTAATTTGAGGTCTAAAATTCGATATTTGGGCCTCCCAGGAGCATAGCGTGATCATGACGTCGCAACTGATTTGTTCAGGACTCGAGCTTCTCTCGTAAAGCTCAAAATATATAAACTTGGTACAGCAGAATTTCAATTTTTATCTGCCGTTATTACAAATGGATAACACTATCTTCGTCTAGATCACTGACCCTTTCGTGTTTTTCTCAACCTATTCACCAAAGAAACACGTCTTTGTACAGATCATAGATACGCGATACTATTACTCATAGTGCTCTTATTTATAAGTTACAACGAACGGACATCCCTAACTACGTTAACAAAATTACAGAATTCGACAAATAGGCGGCAAAAACAAAAATAGACCACCAACGCTACGGAGTAACACAGGGATCTATCCTCGGCCCCACCTGTAGAGCCTATTCGCCAGTAGAGAACATTGCAGGACAATAGATGCATCTACCCGGTACTAACATAAGGACATACTGCAGGTTCCCTCGCATAAGTAAGAGCGGCATTTTTAAATAAGAGGGTTGCCTTAAGAAGAGATACAGGGTGGACCATCCATGTGTGGATGGAATATTACTCATAAACAAATACATTTTGGGAAAATCTATTTATGGGATGTTATACATGACATTTGAGGGCACTTTTCTAAAATATTGGCCATTATATAGGGTGTCTAGAAAAATCCCCCACTTCGGCAACCCCTCAGTCCGCCCGTATGAAATTTGGACTGCTGAATCTTGTATAAAAAAAACTTACATACCTTTTATCCTATTTGTTTATTTTTCGAAATTTCATTTTTGCTCATACAGGGTGGTCAAAAACGCAAATTGTAGTTTTTCTCAAAAATTTCAAATGCATCACCCTGTATATTTGTGCAAATTTGGATCAGATTTTTTATAAGCTTTTTTAATACTAGACACATAAGGGTTTTTATGGCTATTTTTTCGGTTATTAGCACGTCTTTTATGGAACGGCTTAATTCCCTAAAATATCGCATCATCCTTGGAAACAAATAAATTGTTGATTAGTTACGTCAAATCTGTACTCTTAGTGGCAATATCGAACTATTCCATTGATTGTCTTTTGTTTCCATGGATGATTTGCTTTTTTCCTTAATTTTGGTGTAGTGTTCTATTAAAAGCTTAATAACTCAAAATCTAGTGATTTTATCTGAATCAAACCTTATACCAAAAAATAGCTTATAAAAAACTGAATCCAAACTTGCACAAATATACAGGGTAATGCATTTGAAATTTTTGAGAAAAAGTATAATTCGCGTTTTTGACCACCCTGTATGAGCAAAAATGAAAATTCAAAAAGTAACGAATAAGATGAAAGCTGAGGTGTGCAAGTTTTTTTTGACACAAAATTAAGCACTCCAAATTTCAAAATGGTAGATTGAGGGGTTGCCGAAGTGGGCGGTTTTTCTGGACAAAACACCTTACATCTCAGCAGCTCATTACCAAAACCTCAAAGTATGTTATATCAATCTTCTTCTTTTGAATTGGTTTATTCAAATATGCAATAAAATTTGAGGCATTCCATTTAAAAAATCAGAACTTTGATATGTAGGTCAACATTGGGACACCCTGTATAGTTGCCAATACTTTAGAAATGTGCCCTCAAATGTCGTGTATAACATGCCATAAATAGATTTTCCCAAAATGTATTTGTATATGAGTAATATTCCGTCCACACATGGATGTGCCACCCTGTATAAAATATCTGGGTAGTTCCCCTAGTGCATCCCAGATTACATATTTGTGGAGATGCTACAAAAGGACAGTGTGACAACACTAATGGATAAGGCGTCAAATCCAGCCTCAAAAGTTTAAGCGACTTGTGCACTACATTTCATAATCCTGCTCCTCGTATTTCACCCCTTTTTCCAAGAAGTTTTTTTACTTGTTTATATAATTGATTTTATATTATAAATTATTTTCTTATGGACGAATTTATCCTGGCTTTTTAGCTAAGTAACTGGTGGTTGCAGTCTTTTTGAAAAATATGTTGCATTTTCTAAGTTGGACTCACCGCAGCTACAGAAAAAATGCGCGGGTCCAGACAACGTCAATAGTCTAAGTAACTAGCGATTTCAGCTTTATAGACAAACATACTCGGAATTCTTCTAAAAGGCTGGTTTACTCAGCTTTATTGAAATAAGGTGCGTGCACTTACAAAGTCATTAGTAGCGCTACCTGTTTTTTACTAAGAAGTCAATTCTCTAAGAAGCTACGACATACAGTGGAACCCCAATTATCCGAACTGCGATTATCCGAAATCCGCTTTATCCGAAATAGATCGCATACAAAATAATTTCTCCGTTTCAACCGAAGTTGTTCGGGAAATCCGCGCATGATCCGAAATAGCCGCAGGTAGTTCTCCTTTCGGCGTTTGCGTCATTAGATTCGCTGCCGGTGATTCTCCGAGCGCGTTTGCTGAATTCACTGGTATGTGTGCGTGTATGTTTGTTTCAGTCAGGTTCATAATCGCTAAAATCATAGAACAGAAACTCTAGGCAATCAGACGTTTAGATAGAGGTGATTTGCTTAAAAACATGGCAAGTGATTTGGGTGTGGGCGTGAGTACCACTTCAGAATGGAAAAAACAACGCGAGGAAATTGAAAAGTGGTCTAGTGTTCTGACATCATCGCAGCCGTCACGGAAAACCGCGGAAAACTATGGAAGAGGGAGAATATCAAAAAGTGGATGATGCTTTAAATCTGTGGTTTAGAAAGAATCGAGAACGTGGAATACCAATTCCCGGACCAATTCTAAAGCAATAGACAGTCAACTTAAGTGAATAATTGCCATTTATTGAGACGCCTGATAACTTTACAGCTAGTGATTGATGATTGGCCGCATAGACGGAAAGAACAACACGGTATACGAGAATTAAAAGTTTGCGGAGAAAAGTTATCTGCCGATAAGTCCGCTGCATTAAAATTTGGAGAACATTTTAAAGAATTAATGAAGCAGTACGGTTTAAATCCAGAACAAATTTACAACTGCGACGAAACGGGCCTAAACTATAACATGTTACCGGCGAAAAGCTTCAAAACAAGAATCTGTAGCTCCTGGTTACAAACGCAGTAAAGAACGCATGACTATCCTTGCCTGTAGCAATGCTTCTGATACACACAAACTTCCTTTGTTGTTAATCGGAAAATCAGCTGAACCAAGAGCATTTAAACACGTCCGTCCCAACGCTCTGCGCGTGGTACAAAAATCAAAAAAATGCCTGGATGGATCCGCTCTATTTAAGAACGATATTTGAATAAATGCAGACATCCGAGAAAATGTATTTTGCTACAAGACAATGCTCCGAGCCACCCAAGTGAGGAGCAACTTAAAAGTGGATAAATACGAGTGATGTTTTTGCCTCCCAATGTAACGTCACTGATTCAGTCTTTGGATCAAGGAGTTTTAGAAAATTTAAAACGCAATTACAGACGTTTGTTATTAGAGCAAATTTTAGATCAAGTTGATAATGGTTGTAGCCTCGTTGATTGTTTAAAAGACATTAACCTTAAGAATGTGGAATATTGGATAGCGGAAGCATGGAGCCAAGTAGAAAATTCTACTTTACAAAAATCTTGGTCGACAATAATTAGAGACTATGAGAATAACAATCCAAGCAGATGTTGGTACGTGGATTAATGGTGATGAATTGGTGGAAGAATTAACTGATACAGAACTAATAAAAATTGCTTGTAACAATGGCGATGAGACAGTTTCAAGTGTTGCTTGTGACAATGAAACAGAAATCTCTGCCAAAATATCACATTCTGAGGAATTAGAAGCTCTACAAAAGGCATTGACTTACGTCGAACAACAAGAAATTGCGACAGCAGCTTATGTGCTACTTATCAAACGTTTGAGGGATATCGCTGAAAAAAATAGGAACAATGCAAAACGTGTACAGTTAAAAATTAGTTTATTTGTTACTAAATACTCCTAAATATGTATGTTTGTATCCTCATGTTTATATTTTACGTAACTTTATATAGGTATATACTCACTTAACTCACGCATTTACTTTTTTCAATAAAAGCATTATGAGTCTGAATATTTGTTTCCGTTTTATCCGAAATTTCGATTATCCGAAAGGACTTGGGTCCACGTTATTTCGGATAATCGGGGTTCTACTGTAATTATACAGGGTGACTTTGAAGTTGAGTCATTAATTTTCAGATAATGATTGTAGAAGGAAGATAAACCAAAATATGTGTGTAAAAATAAAAAAAAAAATTAAAAAAAAATCTACCTTGTTTTATAAAGTATCCTCCCAACAAGTATTTCAGTGCGGACCTGTATTTGGTCGTGAGGTCTTGGAGCACCGGCATGCCCTCTCATGTGAGGTCTTAAGTCACCTGATTCACGAGCTCGTTGTACTACATTAACAAAGGCATGAGGGGTTGGTTGCACTCGATTGGGAAACCGATCCGCATAAACATGTGCCATTTTTTATTTCGTTTGAGCCACGCAGCAAACACCACTATTCACTCACGCGTTACCGACTGACACATCGACTGAATAAAAACATCGTGATCAGCGTTTCAAATTCTTTCGCTTTTTTGTTTCCGATGGGATGAACCGATAAGGCGGATTATATCCGTTGTTGCCAAACACGAGCACTTAATATTATTATTGAGACAGGGCGGTACTCAAACTTCTAAAGGGCTATAACTTTGTTACTTTAATTTTACAACAAAAATGTTAAAGGAAAAAAACATTTCTTTTGATCAGATCTACTCACTGTTAAAATAAATGACTCAACTTTGAAGTCACCCTGTATAAGCCAAAGGCATAATATGTAACATAATCTATATTAAATAAAGGTTTCAAATTGAAATTGAACTGATTGATTGGGAATTTTGGAAGTCTTCTCACAGAAATATTCTTAGAATATTATAGATCTTGGTACGACATTTGCATCTATTTATACAGGGTGTCCTGAAAAAAGTGTGGAATAATCTACCAGCGGTTTCTAGAGCTCAAAATAGGAAGAAAAGTTCATATAAACATAGGTCGACAAACGTCCCCTCAGAGCGCTACGGTCTTTTAAAGGGGCTACCCTGAAGATGGTTTTTCCTTAATATTTCCGAAACGTGTTGAGATAAAGACATAAAATTTGGTATTCTAGCCTAGTTTTTTATGCTGGATTTAAAAATATTCACAATTTTAGACAGTTTTGTTTAGAATCGTATGTAACAGGGACCGACTCAGGTTATTTGAGCCCCAAAATTTTTGTGTGATCCTATTTTTGAAATTCAATTTTAGAATTTGAAAATTTAGGGTTTGCTACATAAAAAAGGTACTCTTATTGAATATCGATAAATTGTGCCATTTTTGAATAAAATCAAATTAAAAAATTTGTCACATGATAGGAAATGTACTGCGCATTTACATGAATTGTTGAATAATTAGCCATGGCAACGAAAAAACTAATTTGATAATTGGTAAATATTACATAAATACATATTTCTATTGCAACATAGCTAACATTTAGGCAAAAACAAAAGAAATCAATTTTTTTCTATGCACGAAATTGAAATTTGTTTAAAAAAGAAGACATACAGTTGGATATACTTAGAACTAGCTTTACAATAAAAATGTTGAAATAAATTCCCATTTTGTTGGATACAGAGTCTCGCTCGACGAACTAATGATTGCGTAGCCCGAAAAGTGGAAAACCTTTTTCTTCTTATTTCAATTGCAGCCTGTTGGATTCTTTGAAGTAAATCTTCTTGAGTATTTACTTCAGTCAAGTAAACTAGGTCTTTTAATGACCCCAAAAATAGAAATCTAATGGATTTAGGTCAGGTGAACGTGGCGACCACCTCCTCGGCCTAACCACCTGTCTGGAAAATTCACATTCAACCAATTTCGAACATTGCGTTCAAAATGTGCAGGGGCACCATCATGTTGAAAAAACATATTTTCTTGAAACTGCTGGAGCACATCCAATGGTATTATATCCATGAGCTTATTCTGAAGAAGGTTCAGACACACCTCTGAATTAAGACGATTGGGAAGTACAATAGGCCCAATTACTTGATCCCCAATTACTCCTGCCCATAAGTTCAATGAAAATCTATGTTGGAAATTTGTACGGCGAACAACTTTTGGATTTTCATCTGACCAGTGATGCATGTTATGGAAATTAAAAGCACCATTTTCTAGTAAATATTGACTCATCCGACCATAATATTCAAGGAATAGTGTTTTCATTTGCTAATATCCACTGGCAAAACTCGATTCGTGGTAAAAAATCTGCCACCGTTAAATGCTGCACCCGTTTAAACTGATAAGAATGTAATCCTTGCATTCTTGTTAATCTTCCTATCTAAAATTATTATTTTTAGGATAACTATCAAATAAGTATTCATAAATTTTTCTTACTATAGATCGAGGTATATCGATATTTTCTGAAACATTTCGTATGCTTATTTGTGGATTATTTAAAGCAATAACCATACGATGATTTCCCATTAAATCGATTTAATAAAAATTTTAATTTTAATCTAGTAATTTTACACTGCTAACAATGTCAGCTTAACGTCAAAATAAGTCATAACAAATCAAAACAACTTCTGTTTGCAGTCATGGCTAACTATGTATAATCAACGATTCATTTAAATTCGCAGTACATTTCCTATCATGTGACAAATTTTTTAGTTTGATTTTATCCTAAAATGGAACAATTTATCGATATTCAATAAGAGTCCTTTTTTATGTAGAAAACCCTAAATTTTAGAATTCTAAAATTGAATTTCAAAAATGGAATCACACAAAAATTTTGGGGCTAAAATAACCTGAGTCCGTCCCTGTTGCATACGCTTCCAAACAAATCTGTCTAAAATTGTTAATTTTTTTAAATCCAGCATAAAAAACTAGGCTAGGATACCAAATTTTATGTCTTTATCTCAACACGTTTCGGAAATATTAAGGAAAAACCATCTTCAGGGGAGCCCATTTAAAAGACGGTAGCGCCCTTAGGGGACGTTTGTCGACCTATGTTTATTTAAACTTTTCTTCCTATTTTAAGCTCTACAAACCGGTGGTAGAATATTGTACACTTTTTTCGGGACACCCTGTCTACGATCCAAGATTTAAAAAACTATGAAATTTGGGAGTTTCGCTTCGGAATTGTTTAAGTCTTGATTATAAGTTTTTGTGAAAGTTCTTCTTAAACCAAAATACCTCTTCAAGAAGTCCGTATACTCCGCCTGTCTGATGAGGCCGGTCCTCATCATGATAGTCTGGAAGCACTGCCTCTCGATAGCCCATAGTTTGCAGTCTGTCGCCGCTTTGATCGTAGCAGTTCGTTTGCAGTTGTACAAAATGGCAAGTTCTCCCAGCACCTTGCCTGGCGTCAGGGTGCTCAGGAATTTGTTCTCGCGAGACACTTCCACACATCCCTCTGGAAATAAAAAAAGGTCGGATTACAAACACGCTTTTCCAACTCACGAACGAAAAGTCGAGAACAAACATCATCATCCATAACGCCGCCATCAGTTCATGAAGGATCATGTTCAGCAAAAGTTAGTTACGAATATGTCTAACAGGAAATTTAAATGGATCAAGTCAGTCAAATAGCCCCACAGAGCAAGGGCGTACCCAGCTTGAAACGTTGGAGAGGGACATCTTCAACAAACTTTATGATGGAAGTTCTACAAATACATCTACATAAGTATGCTTGATATTTTCCTTCCATTTTATTTATATTGAGTCTTCCAGGACGATTTGACAATTCATATGGATATGGAAAACTACTAATATTACTTTTTTGAAACATTAGAGATGCTTTTCTAAGTAATAATTTAGTCGTTTGCAATAATTGATAGCAACACAATATGTAGAAGGATATGTGCCTAATTTAACCTAGAATCATTTAAAAAACAAATTTGTCATATTTTCGGTAAGAGATACGGGTCGATTGAATGATGACAAAGTTGCGTATATGTATATTTTAGAAAATGCATTTGAAAAGTTTTGTCACTTTCAACATCTCCAGAGATACACGGAAAAGGGAACGAATTTTCCCAAAATAATTTCTATTTTTTATTTATTTGAGATAGAATTTCAAAATAAACTGTAATAAATGCAAGATGGCATAAATAGAACATTAATAGGATTTTTCGTATCTTAACACGCGTCACAACTTTGTTTTTTGTATGTCATTATTGCATAGGTGAATAGCTTTTGATTCTGACTTTAAGAATTATAGCATGTCTTACATTATTGTAAAAAAAAACCTGAGTAAGCCTTGAAATTATCATATATTTCATAGACCATCAAAGGTCATGACATGTTTTGATATAAAACTTCAAGATGGTTTAAACTCATCAACTGAGGAACAACATAATGTAACTCATTTGTATTATTTGAGGATAATAATGAAAACATTGAAAACGGTATGATTTTAAAAAAATGATAGCTGAAACGTTAGATCGAAATTCTGATTATGTCACCGTGTAGAAGAGAAAAAAGTGGTAATGTTGTTGTGTAATTTGTCTGAAACTTGTAGATAATGTGGTTGTTTGAAAAGTTTTCTTTCGGACTAAAGTCAGGAAAAAATAAATACGGCCTAGAGCTTGTGGAGAACCCTGTACATGAATTATTTAATTTTTGTAAAAAATGTTCTATCCATATCTCATTTTGAACATTTTTCGCCATAAGTATAATTCCTGGCCAGTAGTCGTAAGAAGTAAAAGGAAACAAACTAAGTGGGGAATATCCTAAAGTCAATTTGCTTGATACCAACTTTTGGTCGCCGAAAACAAGACAATTCATCAACCCAATCAGTACACAAATGTGTTTAAAAGAAACACCATATGCTGAAATTACAGCAATAATTTACAATGTCCAACTGTATACTTTTAAAATAGCCATTCATGCATTTCTTATTAATTATCTCATTTATAGCTTCATTAACACTACTATCGTTAACGATAACTAGTTAACAACATGTTTCAGTGTTATTCTCTCCGGGAGGATATTAAATACAAGTTCGTTTTTAATGTTTTTAATTACGACTGCTGCATTCCCATGACCCCGATACATATGCTAATTTTTTATCGTGTTTTCCATCCTTTAAAAATATTCCGGGGATAAAATCAACAGTAACATAGAAGATACAACACGGGAAGTCATCTGGAGTCATTACTATATTTAATCTGAATGCTAATGAACTGTGAAGTCCGTTAGACTGAAGGATACATTTGAAATCGTTGATTGGTTTGAAAAACTCGATATATCGAAAATCTTTGTTGGGCATTAACAATCACAAACATGCTTCAGGAATATAGAATATTTAAAATTATATCCTGTAGTTCACTCGAAATGTGCCCTCAGATTTTTCTTAAGCTTTCATTCCACGCCATCAGAAGTACGTATGGATAATATAGAGGGTGGCGTATCGAAAACGAAACAGACGCATTTACTGGCAGCTCAGTTTTGTTTTTGGAAAAACGCTCAGACCCGTCGATTTGGTTTTTGAGGGAGACACACTTTTGGCAAAAAAACAAGTTAACACGTGCAGCCCCCCTGGGCGCGGGTGACACCAACCCTAAAATCTTAAATGGAAATAGGGGTCGAGGGATACCTTATTTTAAAGGTCCTTCAATTCCCTTTATAATGATATACAATTACGTGTTCGACAATATTTAGATCAGACGTTTCCAGATCGATGGATTGGTAGAAGAGGTGCCATTGAATGGCCCCCAAGATTGCCAGATTTATCACCTTTGGATTTCTTTATGTGGGGTCATTTAAAAAGCAAAAAATGAGTCCCTTCAAAATACTCCTCAAATATTGCAAAATGTGCGGCAACGTTTTGAGCAAAATCTATAATATTGCATGGAGAGTCATGGTGGCCATTTTCAACATGTACTTGCCTAACGGGACAGTTCATTCTTTATTTTTAAATTACTTTGCTGCCAAATGTATTGATCTCCACTAATGATGATGTATTAGTTTTATTTAAGCTTTAAATCAATAAATCTTCAAAACTACTGAACTGAAGTACATTAATCTTATATCATTATAAAGGGAATTGAATGACCTTTAAAATAAGGTATCACTCGACCCCCCTTTCCATTTAAGATTTTAGGGTTGGTGTCACCCCCGCCCAGGGGGCTCCACGTGTTAACGTGATTTTTTGCCAAACTTGTGTCCCCTCGAAAATAAAATCGACGGGTCTGAGCGTTTTTCAAAAAAAAAAACTGAGCTGCCAGTAAGTGCGTCTGTTTCGTTTTCGATGCGCCACCCTGTATATTTTGTCACCAAAAACTGATAAAAAATGGTTGTTGTTTTACTGAAGTAAGAGTGACTGAGGCTTGTCTGTCAATAAAATGTATGTTGTAATCTATTTCAAAACCTTAGCAGTATAAAACTGAATCAAATAGCTGTATCCTCAAGCGTTGGTAATATCCAGGTATTTAATCAAAGAGAAAGTCCCTCTAGTATTTTCCTCACCAGCTCAATGGTGACATTGGTAAGGCACTCAGAAAGCCTGCATGTAAAGTGCTGTCACTCGCGATCTGTGAATCGGATTTATGCAAATAGAAACAATTTTTTAGTCAAATAGATTCTCTGTGGTATAAAGAGGATACAATTCGGTAGATTACCGATGAACCGGGCTCTATTTTTATACAATACTCAAAGCAAAAATATTACTGCTGGACATATCTGCTTCAAAATGTTCGTATGTTTCGTCGAGTCGCAAGCATTCTTGTTCCGAGAATAAGAAATGACGTCAGAACAAACTCCGCATAAACATGTTACACAGCCTTTATCTCGTAAAATGTTTTATCTGGTCGTGAATCTTATTACATAAAATAGCGAGTAACATCATTATCATTGCTATCACGAAGAAGCCATCGTAGTATATTACCAGGAGGCTCTTATCTAACGACGAAAAATTGGCTTTCTCTCAAAGTATACATATTGCTGACCGTAGGATCACTCGGCGGTCAGAGTCTGGAAAATACGATGTGTAATCTACTAATTCAAAGCCTGCTTGATAGTGAGCAGCCATAGCAATATAGCAACGCAACTTCCCATGATTTTTTTGAGAACATCTTGCAATTTTGATACGAAGTTTTTATAATAGCTTTTAGCAGATATTTTGTTATGGCTGTCTTTCTGTATGCGTAGGGACCTTTCTGTCATTTTCAGTTGGCTGAAGATGTAGCAAGCTTTGCTAAATGATTTACAGGTGGCACTTGTCAGTTTATCATCTCTTTGCGCGTAACATCCTGAGTATCCTTGACTGCTTTCCGTTTGCCTTCCTCCAACAGCCAGACCTATACTGTACTAATGATTGCTAATAAGTATGATACAACCTTGTATGCGGTTGGTCATGGTTAAAGAGACGGAAAGCAAACAGATTCAGTTCAGAACCATTATTGCAAAAATGCAAATAGTATAAAATTAACACAAGGAGACAATCAAATAGATGTCAAAATCAAGTATCGTGGTAAATAGTGTAATCTGTAAAATTTACTTTCTCCTAACCTTCCAAAAGCAGATACATTCCGATGATCATCAGACGTTTCCTCTCGATTTTCTCTATTCAAATTGGAAGTGAAACGGAAAAAGATCTCGCTGACCTTTGGCTCGTTGAGGAAGTCTCGTTACGGCATGTTCCTTTTTTAATCGACAGCAAGTCGTGACTGCGATTGCAAGAGTTGAATACATGCTAGAAAAGCCGATGACACCAGAAGAACTGCAGATGAATGCCCGCTTTCATCGTGATGCGGAATTGAAGGTTAGGTTCATTCATACATGACGTTTCGTGCATGACAAATATTAGGGTTGTACCGAGTACTACTTTCTTTAAAAAGGCCAGGTACCGGGTTCTCGTCCAGATCCGAATACCGAGTACCGGGTATTCGGAAAGAGATTAGCGCCGGGTCGTTCTAATTACTATGAGTAATACTGATAGTGTATTTGAAATTTCTATTTCATTCTCTACAGCCCAAACAGCTTGTTGGATCTTGACACTTGAGGTATTCTTAGATCTGTCTCTGATAGCACAAATAAAAATACATTCTTTACAGTTATTCTTCCTTTCCACAATTCAGATGTAGGAAGGTAATTTTCGCGATGTTGTGAAACCCAAAAAGACATACACGCCGTTCGTTGCATGAGAAACGGTTACCCTATTAGCTATATTTTACTTTTTGGAAGCCAGCCTCAATGCAGATTTGGAAGGTAGTAAACCTGAACTATCTTTACAAACGAGCAAAGTGTTTCTTTGCTAAAACGCGGGAAACTTGTAAATCACCTTACTTTTATAATTTGTCGCAATTTGTTTATGTGGCTTCAGTTTAAACAGCCACACTCGCTGCTTTATGGACCTACGAAATAACATAAAGTAGTTACACCTTGTATACAGGGTGTCCGCAAAGTTGAGGTTTTCCTTTACACGACGTGTAGATCTTGAAAACATAAGCAATTTTTCTTCGTACCATATACACCAATGTCTTAAGGGAACCGAGATAAAGGGCTCTGCAACATCAAAAATACCTGAATACCGTCCTGTAGCCGCGACATCACCCAGTGGTACAAGGTCACTGGCTCAACCCGACGACAGAACTGGGTCGGGGTCAGTGTGTCAGGTCAGTATGCAACCTTCAACCGACGGTTACGGTCACGCGTGTAGAGGTAATCGCGTAGACGAGAATCCCTCAACAAGCACTAGAGACGTGGCTAGAGAAGTGCAAGTATCAAAAACTGAAGTGTGGCAAACGCTGCGTGAAGAGGGGTTTCCGTTTCACGTCCAACGTGTACAAGCCCTTCAACCTGACGATTTTCCAGCAAGAGTGCGGTTTTGTGAGTGGTTGTTGCATCAACATGACAATAATCCGGACTTTTTGAAGTGCATATTGGTGACAGACGAATCTACGTTCACGCGTAATGGGGTGAATAACTTTCGCAACACTCATGTTTGGTCAGTAGAAAATCCGCACGCTGTCCGTCGGGCACATTTTCAACAAAAATTTTCGATGAATGTTTGGGCTGCTCATTGGACCTTTTATTCTCCCAAATCGATTGGACGGGATGCAATACCTAGACTTTTTACGCAACATTTTGCCTTCCTTGTTAGAAGATGTGCCATTAAGTGTAAGACAATCAATGTGGTTTCTGCATCTGCTCGGTAGCGCATCAGCTGATTTCATTTTCTGTTGGAGCGGTATGATTTCGGGCAGAGACGTACTTAGCCCTTCTCGTCAACTGGAGAGTGAGTACTTTATCCTTTATTTTTTTTTACTTGGTCACCCTCGTTTCACTACACATTACCTTTGTTATTTCAAGGGTAGTTGTTTCTGAAAAGGAAAACCCCAACTTTGCGGACACCCTGTATAAAAGATAAGCTATATAAATACCGTAAACACACTAGTTTACTGCATAAGTCGAAGACGAAATCAAGCAACTGATTCTGGCAATGTTCTGGTGGGTTAATTTTTTAGAAAACATTTCAGGGAGGTGGGGTAAAAGGCATATATGTTGAGATTTTACCCATTGTATTTGCAATTCTTTGATTTACACATATGTGTTCAGACTGAGTAATGACCCGGGCAAGTAATTTAATACTGGCGAAATCGGGTACTCCGTAAAATGCGCCGAGTAAAAACCGAGTACTCGGTGCATCCCTAACAAAGATGGCATAGTAAAAGCAAGAATGCTGAATGTTGCCTGATATTATCTACGTCAACAGTGTTGAAACTTGGTTAGACAGTTGTACCGTGGTAATGCAGTTTCAAGAACGGGGTATAAAAAATATTTCGACGGAGGTTAATATTCTATAGATTTTGAGCGTTTTGATTTTTTAATGTAAAAGAGACATGGCAAAAATTGCTCCTATACTTCAAAATATATATTTCGCTCCAAAACTGTAACATACGTGTATTCACTTCCCATCATTAAAATGTGATTACATTTGTACTTTTTTCTCACGGGACTCAGAGATGTTGAGAAAAATAAGCATTATTTTCTTTGACAGTTTTATATGAAATCCTATTGGTTGATTCCTTCCATGGAAAATAAATTTAAATGACTTCCATGCAATGTAGATTTACCAACAACCAAGCGAAAAAACGAGGAGTGCTTGCACCGTACTTGGAAAACGGACATAAACAATTTATTTCGGTTAGATTCATTGATTTATATACTCCTTGTAGATCGCCATTTTAACGCCACAAGAAATAATATTTGAGCATATATGGGCATATGGTTGGTTACAGCGCCATCTGCGATGCACAAACCTTTTCAAGGTAGATTTATAATTATTGGGCATTTTTACTTCTGTTGCCTTCTAAAAGAATTTTGAATGTGTTTTTATAATGGCAAAGACAAAAGAGCTTTGTAGTTTTTGAAAATCGATGGGATTATGCACCCAAAAACTAAAAAACTAGAATCGCTCATTTCTCGTCTCGAGTCATCGTTGGTTGTCAGAGCTGTCCATGGGACCTCAGCTCTTGAGTCACAGTGTCAGTTTGAAAGTCTGTCAGGTCTGGTGACCCAGAAACCAGACAATTAATTGTAAGGAAAAAAGGGAACGAAAGGAGAGAAGGAAGAACGAGAGCAAAGGGGAAGAAGAGAATCTTTTAGGATAGGCAGCGTTTAGGCATTGTTAAAATCACTTCACAGATTTTGTTATGGTCTAAAAATATTCGATTTTTTCTAAAGATTTTGTCAAAATGCTCCAATTTTGGTTGTTCTAAGTTCACGAATTAATTTTAATTACAGTGCGAGCCGCGGCCTTTTGTGCTTGCGAACTTTCTCGATTGTGTAGTCCACTGACTCACACAACAAAGGGTTGCTGTGCGATTCCGCTAGGTCATTTCTCGTCTTTCACCATTTCAGAGATCGTTCTAAGATTTTCAGCAGTTGCTTTTTAACTTAAGAGGCTGTTAATGACTATGCCTAATTACTAGAAATTTTCTCATCATCTTTTCCGCCCAATATGCGCAATACATAATTGTCTCAGGTAAGTAAGAATATAATTAATCGACGTTTAACTCCTACATTTGTGAAAGAGGCTTTTTTTCTAAGGAACATTACAAATTAGACCAATTGCCAAAGAAGCTTGTTTCACAACATCGTAAATTTACTCTCAGCAAATCATCTACCTTTCACTTTCATTTTCGTATTTTTTCCAAATTATACTTCATTATCCCAAGTAATTATGAGAACTACATCTATTATTTCGGCTTCAATTTGATTGAAGTAACGCTAATGACAAACAAATCCGAAACGCTGGGAGAACATTATGAATATAGTTAAGTTAAGCTGCACTTGTCCATTCAACTACCCATACACTGCGCAGATTCGTCCTCACTGAGAATTATCAGTACGGTATAGGCTACGAAAGAACGAAAGAAAGCGTGTTACCATATAAATATTTTCGGCCCAGTAAAATATTATGCAGAATTCTTGTCTAGATTAGACAATTAATTGACGTGGTTTTTGCATCCCAGTCATGATCTTGGTTCTAAATCGTAATTCGAAGCTTATCTATATACACTACATCATAGCTCATTCACAATCAACAAAATACCAACAATGTTATCCAGATATGGAAAATTGTGATGTTCGTTACGCCACAACACATCCAATGTATACAAAAACTAATTGAGTAATTTACATATTTTTAACCTAACGCTTTTGAATGATATCAAGCTTGTTCTTAACAGTGTAAAACAATGGTACCATAATACCATAATGGTACACCTCTTAACAAGCCATGCAGGCTTCCAGTTCAACAGCGAAAGAACACAGTGTTGCCCTTTGCAAACTAATTAAAAATATTTAGAAATACTTGAGTTTGCAAAATATGATAGGTCTTTGTAAGTAGAAAGTCATACGATCAGTATTTGTCATTGTCAGGCTACACGGTCAATAAATGTCAAATTTTGACGGATCACAGTAAATACTGATCGTGTTACATTTGACTACAGCAAAACTTCCATTTTGGTTTCCTATTGTTACAAGCAACGAACTAGGTAGAAGAAGCAAGTCTACGATTTGTTTGTCGCCAAAATTACGTAGTCTGTAGTCAGGATGCAAGTTTATACTATAAGACCATCAGGCTAAAGCCGCCTGTTTGACATGTATTGACAGTCCACATTAAATTCGAACTCTCCTGCGAAAACATAATTGTGCGTATGTTCCATACAATCCTAGTGTTGCAGATAATTGGCGTAAAGATTTCTGTGAACTGCAAAAAGCAGTAGGAACTGAATAAGAGCAAACTTGTATCGATTATAGTCATGGGCGTTGCGAAAGGGCATATACCTCAACAATAGGATTTTACCTGCACAGCTGTAAGGTCTTTCGATCTATTTCATTTCACTGCTTGTTTCATTAAGCACTTAGTCCCAATCTATGCAAAATTAGCTATCACATGAACCCCCATTACACTTAAAAATATTCCAAGATGGCAGTCGATCGCCATCTTGTGACTTTCAACTACTATTTTTATGCTAAGATATAGTATTCATCTTCCCGAAATTCAGCTTGACTTGACATTTCAAAAATAAATATGGGAGATCTTTTTGAAAAGCACTGAATGAAACATCCATAGAAGTCGAAGCAGACAAACTATTTTTTTTTATGGATACTAAACAGGGGCAACTGAAACTTTAATCTAACATCCTTTCCAGAGGAAAACATATATGCAGATGTATTGGTTTCTCATTTTGGTAGGCAACTTGGCCAAAATTATGCACTAAAACTACTGACTGAATTCAAATATGATTGTCAATAAATCGGTTTACACTGTGTGGTCTGATTTGAAATAGAAAATCGGTCATTTCGGACTCTCTATGGGCGCCTCATCAAATTCATATATGATTCGTAATTTAGGACCATATTTACCCAGGCAACGAATTTTTGTCTAGACCACAGATAAACGGGGATCTTTGGAAGTCTTCCTTTGGAAAAACTTCTTTTGGAGTTCGTAGGGCAAAATTTCAAGCAGGTATTCTTGAAAAATTAGGCAGAAAATTCACACACGTGATGTTTTTAAGGGCCAGTCGTTCCTACAATTGTAGGACGCCTTTATGACCTTCTTGGTTTTCAAAGTATTTTCTCTCCTTTAGAAAGGTCGGGGTATTTCTAGATTTCTACAGTCAACGTCAGCGCTCTCCTATTGTGAAATTATGTTTTCTTTTTGAATTGTATGAAAATTCAGGCTGATAAAACGGATGATATAAATGAAAACTTGAACAATAGATATTTGTGACATAACCTCAAAATAGAGCACTGATACGGAAATAGAAAACTATGTAAAGGAGGCCATAAATGCGACCTACAATAATTGTATGAATGAATGACGATACGGCCCTAAGGGACATAGCTATTCGTGAGTTGCGGAGTGTAGATGTTTTGGTCACGCTGAGCTCAATTGAAAAACAGTGAAACAGTTGGATAAACTTTATGTATGCTTGTGTTAACAGATTATGTACACTAATTCGGAAACTCGGTAAGAGATGCGAAGTCGCTTAAACTGAGACGAAGTTGCATATTAAGGTAAATAACAAAATGCCGCTTAGAAAGTTTCGAAATTCAAAGCACTTCCGGAGAGAGACGGATCAACTGGATTTTCCCGAAATCGTTTTACTTTCCTAACTTTATTTGTAGTGGTATATTAAAATAAATTGCACATTAACATTGCTACTTTTCCTCCTCCACAAAATGGTATAAGCAGAAATTCAATATTATGTTTCGTCTCTTGTCCTCTAGCATTAACTTAATTTTTTCTAATGGAGTAATATTGGATGTTTGCACAGATGAATAGAGTTTTTAATTTTGATTCCAAAAATCTAGAATATGTCATACATGGACACTACCAAACCCTGGTTATTAAAAAAAAAATAGAATTTCCTGGGTAGGCCATGGAATTATTCGTAAACTGGATTTATCGCAAATCGATGATTTTATTTGGAATTGGATTTTAAAATAAATTGCACTCTTCCTCCTCTATAGTAAGGGCTATTGGTCGTTTCTGCTTTCGACTGCATCTCCAGTTTGTGAACAGAAATTATAAACACATTTTCATATTACTAGTTAGATCATCAACTTTGTTTTTTCTTATGGACCCCATATTAAACATATATTTATGTCACGATAAACTCTACGTATTTAAAGTGATATTATTCTTAGTAGCTAGTAGTTAAATGTACAAAATTCCAATATAGCGCCCATATGAAAAAACAAGGTTGGTGATGGATGTTGAAAAACAAACCTCGAATTGAAATTTTTTCAAATAAAGTCAGGAAAAAATAAAAATAATAAATCATTTTGCGATAAATCTGGTATACGAAACAAATGTCTATCTGATAATTTCAAGGCCTACCTAGGAAGTTACGTTACATTTAAATGACTAAGGTTTGGCATTGTAAATGTATGACACATTATTCATTTTTGGAATATTCTTCAAATAAAGTTTATGGTGGAGAACAATAGACGAAACATCTTATTGAAATTCTGATTATGCCCTCTTCTAGAGGAACAAAAGTGACTCTCTTAATGTGCAAAAAGTAGGGATAAAATTAAAACGATTTTGGAAAAATTCGGATTTTCCGTGTCTCTCCTGAAATACCTCGATTTTCGAAACTAAAGTGGCATTTTGTTAGTTGCCTAAATACGCAACTTCGCCTCCATTTAAGCGACTTCGTACCTCTTACCATTTCCAAGATCCCAATGGTGAATTTGAAACACCCGGTATTCAAGTAATGTGCATGTGGCGAAAGCCGTAAGCGAAACGAACCTAAAGTTACAATTAGTCAGAAGTTAAACACAGTAGGTAAAAGAATGGTAGCTAAAGCCGATGGTTAAACCGCTTTGACTAACAACTAAAAGCAATAAAATTAATACTACAATTGCGATCCGATTATATTCATAATGTTCACGGGTTTTCCCAGGGTGCATACCTGTATAAGTACCTTAATGACCACTTACAAACAGATAAAATAAAATTGAAGGGGTAAAATTTAAGTAAACCAAATTGTTGGAAATAGATCTAATAGCATCAAAAAACCGATACGGTACGGGATGCGTGTATATTTTCTAACAGGTCTCGGTCACGATGTAGGGTTGGATACCAAACAGGGCCAGCGAATTCCATAATTGGCCTAACATATCAAGTGTATAGGAGACCAGCAGTAGAACTGCCACTGCCCTTGAAGGATCTTTCGATAAGGTACATACTACTTTTGACCTTAGTCTTAGTTCGGACCAAGATAGAGTATCCATCCGATACAACAACTCCCAAACCTATGTGACTGGAGACACAGGGGATTTCTTGGTTCCCAACCTGTAGAACCCATCGCTTCCCAACTCGAAGGGCAGCAGTTATCTTCTAGACCAGAGTTCCCCAAACTTTTTTGTGTCGTAGACCGCTTGCCATGTTTTTCCGTGTTGGGTAGACCCCCTTACCTGATATTGATTTCCTGTAAATTTCTAACTGTAGTGTAATGTAGTGTGTTAAAAACTTAAAGTAAAAACACATGTTAATTTATACATTTATTAATTGAATTTAAATTAAAACTACTCAAAATAAAATTTTGTATCTGTTATGTAAAATATACGTAACATTAAATAAACAGGTGTCTGACCAATAAGTGCCCGCATTGGGAATAAGTGCCCGCATTGAAAAAAAAATAAGAGGGATAAAATAAAAAAAAGTGAAAAATAATATAAAAAAAGTTTTTTACTTAAAATAGTACAATAAGCGAGTTCGTTTATTAATTATAACATAAACGTATGTTCTACAATAATTTCACTATTAGTTTGATTAAATTCCGCTTCTTATACGTTTAAGTTATCTAAAAATAGGCAAAAAATTAACGAATTTTAGTGTGTACCTATCCTTCAATTTTCAGAATAATTTAAAAAAAAATATTTTCTATAAAGGGGAGGTTCTTTAAAAAAATCAATGCGGGCACTTATTCCCAATGCGGGCATTTATTGGTCAGACACCAAATAACATAAAATAAACTATAAATAAAATAACATAAGCAATAAGTCAATATTTTTAGTGAGATTGATGAACCTGATGCTTTAATAATAAATTATCAACATTTGGCGTCAATTTTGTAAGGTTTAATCTTAAATCTCCTCGGCTAATGATGTCCAGTCTGTTTCTTTTTTTCGTTAGGAGATTGGTAACAGCGCTGAACCCCCTTTCCACTAGGTATGACGATGGAAAGGAAATTAAAAATTTCCTCGCTATATTCCATAATACGGGATAAGTAACGGGTATGTTGTTTTGCAGCCAGAATTGCTAATATCCGTTTTTAAACTGAACCTTAAGTTCTTCGTTTGTACTTAGTTCAGTCAGTTCCTCTTGTATTATGACATTCGTTTCTTCTATGTCATCATATGGATTAATTATCCACGGTAGTGTTACCATAGTCAAAATATCCTCAAACCTAGATTCAAAATCTGAATAGAGGGCATTTAAATGTTGAACGTAAGTTGAAACGTCATCTTCCTGGCAGCTTGTCTGTGACAAATTGGGGAACTGAGAAAATTCGCCCCGTCCAATATTTTGCTTCATTAGTTTAACTCTGGCAAGAAACGCTGATAAGATGGACTTTGTTTTAATCAAATTTAAACTGTCGCCTTGCAATTGCAAATTAACCATATTAAATTTTGTAAACAAATCTGTTAAATAGGCGATGTCTGTTTTCCTCTTCATTAAATTTTCTTTTAAAATTTTATCTTTAGTATCCAGAAATTCTAAAATAGTCTCAAAAAGTGCAAAAAATCTTGTCAAACATAAGCCTTTCGACAGCCAGCGTACTTCAGTGTGAAGGAGTAATTGATGAAAGTGTTCGTCATTTTCTTCACACAACTGCGCAAATAACCGCGTTGCTTCGTATTCGGTTTACTGCATCAATGACTAAATGAACTGATTCATGCAATCTAACACTCAAATTTTTAGCAACTAAATGTTGTCGATGGATGACGCAATGTATTGCTAACACCCCTGACACATTTTGTTTTAAATAGCTTATAAATCCACGATAACGTCCAACCATGGCAGGTGCTCCATCTGTAGCTACTGATATTATATTTGATAAAGGAATTGCTTTTTCAATGAAGTAATCCTTCAAAACATGAAATATTGATTCAACTTTAGTGTCGGTTATCAAAGTTCTTGCGAAGAGCAGTTCTTCGTAGATTTCTTGATTCATAATAAAACGAACATATGCCAATAATAATGCTGCATTATCAGGTAAAGTTGACTCGTCCAGTTGTATAGAGAAATGGGTCGTTTGCAAATAATTACATAAGAAGCTTTCAATATCAGAACTCATTCAATCAATACGTATTTCAACAGTATTGTTGCTTAAGGGAATTCTTTTAATGATATCAGATGCAGGTTTGTGTAAAACAGTTTTTAAAACCTCTTCAACGGCTGGCAAAATTAACTTCTCTCCGATAGTATACGGTTTTCCGGATTTTGCTATAAGTAACGAGATATTGTAAGACGCCCGCAAACCATCATCATTTCTTTGTGACGTCGAAGCGAACATTCTGTCCAGTGTAGGTCTCTTCTGAAATTTATCTTTGAGTGTTTGAAAGTATTTCAAATATTTCTCTGTTTTATCAGGGTGGCATCTTCTCAGATGATCTTGCAATTTAGATGGTTTCATAGCGTCATTGCCCAAAACTTTGTTGCATAAAAGGCACATAGGCGATTGTTTGTCCGGCAATGATGGAATGAAGCCAAATTTCAAATAATCAACACTGTACTGTCTACATTTCTTTTTAGATTCGGACATGGCATCAGTCATCTCTGGGCAAAATTAAATTATTTAAATAAGACAGAAAATCCAGCAGCTGTATATTAAAAATATTTTTTGATTTTTCCGAAAACATTCCATAATTCGAACATCTTCTTGCAACAATTAGCTCGAATTACGGAGATTGCACTGTAATTATATTACCGATTTCAAAAACTTTCAAAAAGAAACTATTGAGGAGTACTCGTGTAATTTTGCATGATTGAATATTTAACTACTAATAACTAAAGTCATGATTGGCGTAATTTATCTATCTTTGCTAACTATGAGTACAAAACTAAAATTTAATAAAAAATAATGTACTTACTTTTCTCCAGCACTCTCAAACAAAATAACACTGACTCACTATAATTTGTGTGATATACTATCTGTTTATATTTTTTAAAATATTTTCTTAGCACTTTCCTTTTCAAGATTCAGGAAACGAATAAACGTATTTGTCCCACATTCGTATTTATAGAGTGAAGAATTGAACAAGTCAGTGCAAGGTAGCGAAGCTCTGAGACTGCAACTCTCAGGTTTTTACAAGTTCAAAATGTATTGCGACTACAAAGCGAATACCAACATCCTATAACCTATAAAATTTTATAAACATATATAATAAATTTTTTACTTCATAGGTACTCTTATAAATAATGGATATGTTTTGATATTATACTATCGTGGACCCCCATATTCATTTCATGGACCCCCAAATTTTTTTTCGCTGACGTAGACCCCTTGCAGGTTGTCATAGACCCCTAGGGGTCGATATAGACCACTTTGGGAATCGATGTTCTAGACCATTCATAAACGTTGAAGGAAGTTATCATTAGCACCCGGGTTATTGCATATCTTTGTGTCATCAGCATACAAGGAGCAGGTCGGAAATGACACAAGGCGGGTCCGATGTGTAGAGAAACAGTAAAGGTCCTAGATGGAACCCTGGGGAACGCCGCTAGCCACCGCCCTACAGGTCTACATTAAATGGCGTACCCTCACCGTGAACTCTCTGTTACTAAGGAAAACCTTCATCCTCTTCAACAGGTCTCCAGTTATTCCAAGGTGTTCCAGCTGGTCGAGAAGATGTGCGTGTGGTCCTCGATCGAATGCTCTCGAAAAATCTAGGTATATTACATCTACAGGCCCATTGATATGATAGACATCAAGTCCAGTCGTTGATACATTTGAGCAGGTTTGTGATGATAGAGCGACCTGGCCAAACCATGCTGATTGGCTGGTAAGACATCATTTCCGGTAGCAAACTTGAGCATTTCACCAAGTATAATTTTTTCCGGCTACTTTAGCAATTATGGGAGGGAGACGGATGGGACGATGGCTTTATGCATTGTGCTGATCACTTTTCTTGAAAATCGGCGTAACTGTTGCTTTAAGCCAGCATTGAGGTAGTGAATGAGAAGTTAACGAAGAGGTAAATATCGTACTTAAAGGTGCAATCCAGATTGATAAGGTGATCTTGAATCACGCCAGAGGAGAATTCAATTTGACACAGGCTGTCATGTGGTCTAGGATGGTATACCATCAGTTTTCGGAGCAAAGTCTTTAGCGAATGCGTTGGTCAATACTTCTGCTGATGACGCAGCGTCTCTGCTGATGTGTACATCTAGATCGTGCACCTTGGGTGTAGAAACTTTCGAGTTTATATCGAATATATCTGAAGAGCCTTTTTCTGTTTTCGATGATACCAGCTTATTTTCAAATTCACGTTTTGCATTTTTCAGAGTCTCCGATAAAGTTTTGATGATTCATGTGGTCGGATGGCCTTTTATGCCGTAAATATTTCTGCTAAACGTGGCAACGCTGTAATAAAAAATTAAATCAGCCGCAAAAAACCGGTCCACTTATTGGCCCGGCCTATAAATTATTCAGACGGTGTATTGTTTTCAGTCGACGAAATCAAATGAAGATAATTAACTTTAAGTCTGAGATTGATACAGTATAATTTTGAATCGGCAGAACGGTTTTTGATTTTGCGGGACCGGAATTTGTTACAACTGTGGCCAATTAAGCTTTCCAAATAAAGTTCTCAAGGAAACCTGTTGATTGAGTGTTGGGAAATTATGTCATTATTGGTTTAGCTCGCGTTATGGTAATTAGATTAATAAATAAACAATGAAGATAATTGACAAGAAAGTATAATGGAATAATTACAAAGATCTGTGTCTGACCACTTAAGAATTATACAGGGTGTTCCTTAATGATATGCGATTATTTAAGGGTGTGAATCTACATGAAAAATTAATGTTAGTTTGCTTTATAAAAAAACTAAAAAACTATGGTCCAAAAATGTTTCCTTACAAAAACTCGTGGTGTTGAAGTTTTAGGAAAAAAAATGGAAATTGTTTAATATTTTAAGAACCGCTTCAGATATTTCACTGGTATTTAGTACGTTGGGAAAGTTAATAAAGTTGCATATTTTTCTAGGCAAAAATAATTTTTAGCTTTAACAGTGGTGTGCGTACGGGTATTGAAGTAGATATTTTTTAAGAAAAAAATGGTACGCCAATGGTTTTTTGCCAAATAAAAATTATTTATGAATTCCCCGATCAAGTTAAAATAAATGATCTCTTTTGAATTGTTTTCCTTCGATGCGCCATTTTGAGTAAAAAAATAAAAATCGTTCTATTGTCCGAGAAAATTAATGTAATAATTGAAGAATTAAATTTAGCAATAAATATCTAGTTGCTCTGGAATATGTCACTGGCTTTTGACATCTGACAAGTCTATGTTATTCAAATCTGTTCGCTGTGACATCTTTTTCATTATTTAGTTTTTACAATCTTGTTAATACTGGTGAATTATTTAAATGCATAAATGGCGGAAACGCATTACGTATATGGCCTTGCCGACGGTAATGATGAGCAAGCCAGACGGATTTATCACCAGAGATATCCCGATCGTGCTTTGCCAGATACTCGAACCTTTTCTAATATTCATCGTCGTCTTGTTGAAACTGGTTCTGTCCGAAAAGGAAAATCTGAAGGTAGACCTCTACGTGTGAGAACACCTGAAATTGAGGAAGCAGTGCTGCACGAAGTCGAAGAACATCCTGAAACGAGTATGAGGAAGACCGCTAGACACTTAAATATTTGCCATCAAAATGTTTGGAAAATTTTAGTGGATTTTTTGTTATATCCTTACCATACTTTAAGAGTACAGGCATTACTTCCCATTGATTTTCCAAGGCGTGTGACCTTTTGTCAGTGGTATCTTCAAAAAATTACACAAAATCCGCAATTTGAATCAAAGATTCTGTTCACGGACGAAGCTAATTTTTCTCGAAATGCTATTCAGAATTTCCACAATAATCATTTGTGGGCGGAAAAAATCCCTGTACCGTAACCGAAACCCATTTCCAACACCAATTTTCGGGGTATGGGCAGGAAGTATTGGCAACCACTTTATTGGATCATTCTTCTTGCCGGGAGGACTTGACGGACAGACTTACCTCAATTTTCTTCAACAACAGTTGCCTTTGCTCCTTGATGATGTTCCGTTAGTAATAAGAAACAATATGTGGTACATATATGATGGTGCACTAGCGCATTTCAGTGTAGCGGTTCCAATTATTTACAAATTGTTTATCCAAATCGTTGGATTAGCCGCGGTGGGCCCCAAGAATGGCCACCAATGTCCCCCAGACCTCTACAGTTTGGGGCCTATCTTAAGACACTAATGTACACAAGTCCCATTAACACTGTAGAGGAACTAAGAGATAGAATAGTTCCAGCTTGTGATAGAATAAAAAACAGGGATATTTCAACGAGTGCGCAATTCCATGAGAAGGAGGGCGGAAGCATGCATACTAAGTGAAGGGGGCCATTTTCAACAATTTTTGTAGTAATTTCGTTGGTTTTAATGTCACGTTTATGTTGTCAGTTGTTGTTGTTCATTACTTCTAATGTGTTTAATTTTTCCAATTAAATTAATAATAATTTTGCAAGATAGACAATAGAACGGTTTTTATTTGTTTACTCAAAAATGGCGCATTGAAGGAAAACAATTCAAGAGAGATCATTTGCTTTGAATTGAACGGGGAATTAAAAAATAATTTTTATTTGGCGGTTCTGAAAATATTAATTAATTTTCATTTTTTTCCTAAAACTTCAACACCCCGAGTTTTTGTAAGGAAACATTTTTGGACCATAGTTTATAAAGCAAACTAACATTAATTTTTCATGTAGATTCACAGCCTTAAATATTTGCATATCATTAAGGAACACCCTGTATAACTAGAATGGTAGCTGTTATGGCTGTTACTAAAGATGCGTTTTTAAAAACAAGATTTTATTAAGGTGTTAAAAGAAATTAAGAATTCACAAAAATATTTTGGTTCTATAGGAAATATATCGTGTTACACTTTAAACAATATTGAAGCTTTCTCAAGTTTTCAAATAAAAGCGTTTTTTTTTTGAAGGTTGAAAGTATAAAACGGCAGATTTCCAACCGGAAAAAATATTTCTGAACTGTTACTTTCCTTTAACAGCTCATTTTTCAAAACATATATTTTTTTTTATTTTTTTTTCACTTTTTAGTATTTATGTCAAATAACTAGTTTTATAACGGCCTCACCTTAATTAGGACGTGTAAATTTCAGGCTGGACCTTACAGGTACTTGCGCTTAAGGAAACAAAGTTTCGGTTTAATTTTGGAGATTAATTTCTCCTTTATATCGAAACAAAACTATTTGATATCAAGCAACTTTATTTCTTACATACTATCAGCCATTATCACAAAGTTGTCAGTAGGCCGTATAAGATCACACATTCCCATGATAATATAAGTTAAGTGCTGAACCTGTCCCTAAACCTCATAAGATCATAATGGAGCGATCTGTTTTCTATTTGGAT